CGCATGTAACTGTCCTAGTTGAATTCATCCCCATCATGATGGACGCCGAGATGAGCCCCAGGAGTTCTCGATTGGAAAAACTTCAGCAGTCTTTGGAACAATTGCTGCAGAATGCCCGGATATCTCACCTAGGTCTTATGCGATTCCTGGGCTACTGCATTGACCAGCCCAATGCTCGCTATGCATTCCTCTATCAGATGCCAGTCGACTATTTCCCATTCCTTCAAAATCCCAGTGACTTGTTGAAAGAGCTGACGCCCAAGCCATTGGTGGCTCTCCTTCCTTCAGCTGAAGAATACCGAGAGAAACGAGTCCCAAACCTGGACACTCGCTTTCGATTGGCTTATGATCTGTTAATGTCTGCTCTTCACCTGAGAAGTCAGAACGCCGTACATGGTAACATCAACAGTAGCAATGTGATATTCTTCCCTGGTCGGGATGATGCTAGTGATGACGAGAGCGGACTTGCCCCAGATCTCCGTCGTCCTTATCTAACTTCTCCCGCACGGTTCTCTGGCGATGGACCCACACCTGAGCCCTTGTCTTCGGCAATGTATCGTCATCCAGAGGACAAGAGGTCTGTTGAAGATGATGGCGCTTGGGCATATGATCTGTATTCTCTTGGCCTTATCCTCTTGGAGATTGGACTATGGGCTCCAGTCGGTCGGCTCTGGAAGATGAAATATGACCGTACTTGGTTCAAGCATCGCGTGGAAGATCTCTACGTCAAGAAGCTTGGCCCGAAGTGCGGTGGCGCTTACCTTCAAGCCGTTCAGCTATGCCTTGATGCCCCCAACTTCCATCTCTCGACACAACCCATGACTGATCTTGGTCTTCGTGTGCCTCAAATCTACCACTACCCAGTCCTTGACCTGTCAGAACCTGACGGCACCTTCTCTTTCTCAATGAACTTCATGTACACGATTTGCAAGATTTTGTGGTCTTGCTGCCGAATTGACATATTCTCGGCGCCTGGAGCAGAGGAGTTGGACGACTGTCTCCCACTTGCGCTAGTTCCGACTCCCGAACCCCTAACTATCCAGGACAAGGTCAATGCATACAAAGCAAAGCATGACTTGACCAATTTGGATAAGAAGCTCCCAAGCATTCCTCAGCAGGACTGGACTCCTTCAAATGAGGAAAAGTCTGTTGAGAAGCCTGCTAAGAAGCGCACTGTCAAGAGGCTTCCACACCTGGAAATTCCAGATGACCACTTACAGGAGTGGAATTTCCACATGATGCCCCGGTTGAGTCGTCTCCTTCAAAAGATTCTGAAAGAGTCCTCCGAGTCTTGTGGGGTCAACCTCATCATGACTGGCGAGTCCGCCGAGAGCGCGAGAACAACCATCTGTGTCACTTGCGCTAGCGTGAAGAAGGTACGATTCGCTTTGAAGAAGCACTTCTCTCTCGGTCGAGATGATTGGGATTTGATTGTACTACGTGGCGATATCGAAAGATCCAAGGTGCCTCGCAACAAACGTCGCCGGCCGGCCAAGACTCGTCCCAATGTGTCGAATGCAACTCCCTTTCGCCAGAGAGAGCTTAACCCATGTCACCAGCAAAGACCTCTTTGCGGAGCGTCCATTGGCGCTTTCCAAAACGAAGAGCATTTACCCCCTGTCTCCTATGGTGGCGCCGTCATCGTTGATGGCTTGCCATATGGTCTGACAGTTCATCACATGTTGGAAGCTCCCAGCGAAGACGAAGGCCAAGGCAATAGCCACGGAGACCCGAACCCAGAAGACCCATCAAGGTCGGCGGGTAATTGGCCGCGTGATACAGCCAATACACAGAACCCCGAATTCATGTATAATTATACCGAGGACGATCAGCCTGGAATGAACCTCGAGTTCGAACTTTCCGATCTGGAGGACGGGGACGATGCATCATTCTCGCAAGGTCTTGAGTCTGGGTATGATGAATTTTGGCTCTCGGATGAAGAGTCGTCGGATGATGACTCTCTTGGTGGCGACGATGACGATGACGACGCTGCATCAATCGGCGACACTGCTGGCATCGAACCCGGTGAAGAACCTCGGCTGCTCGTTACCCAACCAGCCATTGACGACGTGCACGATGACTTTTTTCCATCCCCTGAGGATCGAGATGATGAACATCTCGCCTCACACTCCCTTGGCTATGTCCACGCCTCCTCTGGAGTACGTCGCTGGACTCGAAAGGGCCTCAAGCATGAGATTGATTGGGCCCTCATCAAAGTGGACGAAGCCCGCATGGACCCCCGCAATATCATCCTCGATACCACCAGATCCAGTATCGCCCGTCCAGGACGGCCCATTCCACCACAACCCATTTTCTTGAATCAGGTCGCCCGGATGGAGGAGCTAGGTGGTTTGCAGGTTCATTGCTGTGGCCGGACAAGCGGGCTACAAACTGGCCAGATATCCAAGGCCATGACACTGGTCAAGCTGCATGGCCGGCATTCTTTCTCGACGAGCTTTTGCGTCAATGGGAATTTCGGAGGTAAGAGGTGCTCCGCAGATCCATGTTTATGTCTATACGATCCTTAATTAGATACCCTTTGTTTTTTTGTTATGCACACCTTCTTTTGTCTTCCCCTTATAAGCTGGTAAACAAACAGCACCACCACACCTAAGACATACACACACGCGCACACACACATCGCCTCGTATCGAGTAGCGTTTCATGAAGCTAATTATCACTATGATTCAACAGCCCCCGGTGACTCTGGCGCATGGGTCTTCGACCGCCCAACCGGCCGCGTCTGCGGTCACGTCCTCGCCTGGTCCGAAAGGACAAACACAACCTACATCTCCCCGATGGAGGTCACCCTCGATGATATCGCCCGTACCCTCAACGCATCCCTCGTCTCACTCCCCGGCGACCCAGGCAGATCAACGGCCTACGCCGACCCTACCTCGCCGTCCGCCCAATACAGATATCAGGCTCAGCAGCTGCCCGGGGACTTTGGCCGTCTAGCCCTTGGGGCTGGAGGCAGCCCCGGCCCGCTTGTTCCTCCTCATCCACATCACTTTCCTCATCCTCATGGCCACCCTGGCTATGCTCGTCCTCCGCCTCCGCCGCCTCCTCCCCCCTCCTGGCTCGCGCGAAGCCCATGGACCTGTATACCGTGGCCCTGTTCCTCCGATTCCACCATCCCTCTTGAGTGGTCCGCGCAGTGTCGAGAGACAACTTGCTTGAGCTTTGAATTATGTAATGTTGGTATACTTTGGAGATTTATATTTTTCTTTTTTTTTTTTTTTTTTTTTTTTGAATGGGGTATTTTGTGATTATGATATGACTGCATTGATGTTTATGTCGACAATACCCACGGTGAAGCGTCTTGTGTCTTTTTGGTTTGTGTACATCCGTGATCGGCCAATTATATCTACCTTTTATTGTTAGATATCAGGTCAATTTTCAGTCACCTTGAACTTAAATTATCTAGGTTACCAGTCGTAAAACATCACACCACCCCTTCACTTAGTATCCCAGCAGACACCATATTCTTTTGAAACTAGGAGACTTGAGCAGAGCATCCCAAAGCTAGTCCTCAAACATTCGACATTTTGGTGGCTCCGTAGCATTTGCTTCCATCCAGTCGTCTAAACCATCATTTATCTAGCGATAAGATGATAAGCGGGATAAAAGTTGACAAGTATGACCAGACGTCCGACTTATCTTCTTACCGCCACAATAGAGCTCATGATTGTTGAGTGATGAATCTCTTTTCTTCCTTGTCGATCGGTTGGCCTTCGTTTATGGTGCCTGAAAGACAATCTTCCATAAAATGAACCCTAAAATCGTTCATACACAGTGCTCCCTCAGGTACTTCTTGTGCCGCACTCTTTATTGTATCATTCACGCATCCCATGACACACTGGGAAAAGGCCGCGTCAAGTTTCTTGGGATCTTTGCTCGGGTCACCTCTCTCGTGAAACCGGTTTGGAGAAGCCAGATTCGTAGCGATGAGACAACAGAGTAGCTAAATCTTCAATTTGTGGGCTCGTGACAGCGTTCTATACTCTATATAAAGATTCTGAGGATTGAAGTAATTAATATTCGAAAAGATATCACTGACCTTGTAAGTCGGTGTAAGTAGAAGGTTGTAAATTGTGCAGATTATGAATGCAGTGAGAACAAAAGAGCCGTTGGCCCCTCTATAAGGAGAGAGGACGAAAGGTGGTTACGAATGACGTTCAATATTATTGATGATCTGCATCCCTGAAGAGAATCTAGGTGGGAATCATTCCTTTGGAAAACAAATCATGCGGTTGCCACTGATAGGCGGAGTAGAAGAGATCAACGCATGGGCTGTAAGGTAGCACGAAAAGAAAGACAATGCGATATATTGACGTCAGAGTAATTATTATCGATAATTTTAGCTGCAGGACAAGGTAGATCGATATTTTCTATCGCCCATTAGGCTAGAATAGATAGCTGAGCTCTGCGGAATGATCTATTTCCACCACATGATTTTCTGTATAGTGAGTCCATCGGCTACTTCCTGCTCCGCTCGCATCAGTATGTGATAAACGAAGGTAATAGTCGAAGAAAAATAGGCCGATCGGGGCTGTCGATCTTATAGCGGGTCATTCGTGCGAGGACCTGGCCGTACTGTAGTCTAAGTATTTAGCTTGAGTTTCCTCCACTGAAATGAACAGCAGAAAACTCCAGGGGAATACGACGACGCAAATAAGAACTAAGCCTCGGCTCTCTCACTTTTAAATCTATTATAGGCAGCAAGATGAGCACTAGAGCCTCTATCTCGATTTTCTGGTAGATCTATTATCAGAATCTGATAATATAGCTGCCTATTGGCCGTGAAGTGTCAATTTGGCCCCCAACCGACCAAGCCCACGTGTCAGCCCGAATCTGACATCGGACCAGCTTTGGCGCAATCTATAACATTGCAAGGATATCAACGCCTATTGCTTCTTTCGTATCTTCTCTCCCTGAACCCTACTATGCATCGAAGAACAGGCCGCTCAAAATCAAAGAATGGCTGCATTACCTGCAAAATGCGCCACGTGCGATGCGGTGAAGAAAAGCCTAATTGCATGCAATGTATCAAGACGGGGCGCAAATGTGATGGTTACAGCAACCAATCCCAAAAGGAGCTCCGGAAAAAAGTCACAGACCCATATTTTGCGTGGCCAACTGTCAGCCCTGATAACCGACTAGTCCTGGTCCCGGGTTCACGGGAAGAGAGGAAATATATCCACACATTCTGCACACAGACCTCTCCGGCCCTCTCGGGATTCTTTGCATCGGAAGTGTGGAATCGCTTTCTCCCGCAGCTCAGTCATCGAGAGCCGACTGTTCGGCATGCCGTTGCCGCGGTCAGTGCGATGTATGAGCAACAATATCACCCAAATGCTAGTCAGGGCGTCTCTGATAACTTTGCACTTCAGCAATACACCAAGGCCATCCAGAAGTTCCGGCAACAATTGGTGAATCCTCGAGACTCTGATTACGACTGCTTACTTGTCACCTGTCTCTTGTTTGTATGCTTGGAGATGCTCAGGTCCAGTCACGCGAGCGTTCTAGATCATATTCAGGGCGGAATGCAAATACTTCTGAGACAACAGGATGAAAAGACCAACCAACTAAAAAGAGACACCATCGACCAAGAACTATGCCAATCATTCCGCCGACTGAGCATTCAGCTCCCCCTCTTCGGTCGATCTTTGATACCCTTCCACCCTCAAACAGAAACAGCGCTAGACCCAGAACAGATTCCCATCTTCGATAATATTGCGCAAGCTCGAGACTCCATGACGATTCTGATGAACCGGGGCCTGGGATTGATCCGACCCATCGGCATCGATAGGATTCTCCCATCCGAAGAAGTCAATCAGCAACAGATGCACGAACAGCGTATCCTCGCACAGGCATTCTACAACTGGAATGTGGCTTTTACTACGATGATGCAAAAGCCAGCCAAAAGCGTGGGCATTTTGGATTCACGTGCACCCCTAGCCCTCCAAATCAACTATTTTATCTCTATCACATGGATTCTTAGCTGCTTATCACGAGACGAATCCGTCTACGATCAGCATTTCGCATCTTTCGAAGCCAGCGTGGATGCAGCAGAGAAGATCCTCACCCTCAGTGCACAGACAGCCAATCCATCAACTCCTGAGATATTCTCTCTAGACGCTGAAGTTGTCCCAGCAATATACTTGGCCGCAATGAGATGTCGAGAACCAAACATTCGACGCCGGGCAATCGCGGTTCTGTCCAACTACCCTACAAAGGAAGGACTGTGGGGCCAGGGAGAGCGCCAATATCAAATTGCTAAATTGATACTAGAGATAGAAGAGCGACACTATCAGCATCTTCCAGTGGAAGAAAGGATTCCTCGTGATTCACACCGGGTGTATGAAGCTCTGATCTTTCCAACAAAAGGTACCTACCTGGACCCGTGCCCGGTAACGATTATGATGAAGCCACATGGGCTCCAAGGGCCATGGGCTACCCGGGTTGAATATGTGGAGCTGCCAAAGCTGAAATAGAAATTTGAAGGTTTAGACAGCAGGAATAGAATCCATGAATTGTCGGCATTTTCCCAAAAAAGTCTTCTTCTAGTATGTCTTCCCGTAGGATGCTGCTGTGTAAATCATCGTTGCCTAGCTAGATCATAAGCCATGAGCCACAGTAAGCCCAACATAATCACCCTTCAATATCTAGACCGTCTCTGTTATGCCACCTCTAAAAGATTACGGGCAAGCCAATAAGCGACGTCCACCTGCTGACTTCCCCCGTTAAAGTGGATCTGGGGAGCTCAGACAAAAGTTATATTTTGGCGCCGGAGAAAATTACGGAGCAACCAATGAAAGTGTCCCTCCACTAGGCTGCATCTATAAAATTTGATCAACTCATTTTTCTGTCCGAGAATGCCCAATTAGAGATTGCAGTCTCTTCGTGAAGCCTGAAACGTATGAAGCTAGATACTACAAAATTGACACCAAAGACTAGATATGTCATAGAGGCGGAGCAGGCCTTTCCTTAAGATTTGACTATTTTTGTTCATTGGATATCTCTATCGAAATTGACACCGTCGAAAAACTGTCCAGCGACCTGCCTATAAAAGCGTTGACTTAATCCATGAGATCCATTTCTTTTGGTTTCAAATCACACACTTGTCCCCAGACCACTCCAGCAAATCTGCCTTTCAATTCTTGAAGTTTTCATTCTCAAGTTTTATATACCAAGCTCGCCAACATGTCTTATACCATTCAGCAACTCATTGAGATAAATCAGGGATGCACTGCACTGAAAGATGATTTGGAGCCTTCATATGGATATGTCCCCACAAAGGGAGCAGGAATGGCGTTCTGCATCCTCTTTGGTCTATCTATGCTTGCACATACTTTCCAATTTTGCTGGAAGCGCACATGGTGGTGCAGTGTCTTTGCCATCGGATGTTTAGGTAAGAAATCTTCCTCAACCCAGTTACCATGAAGCATACTGATGAAGTTCTATCTTAGTCGAACTCATTGGTTGGGCTGGCCGGACATGGTCCTCTGACTGCCCATATAACTCGACAGCATTCATGATCCAGATCTCAACTTTGATCATTGGTTAGTAGAATCAATTCCCGGTTCATATCATATCCTTCACCCTGAAGCTAATCAAGATCTCAAATTACAGGTCCAACTTTCTTCACAGCAGGAATCTACATCCTCCTGGGTCGATTCATCCAAATCTTCGGCCGCGAGTCCTCCTTCCTCTCGCCAAAGCAATACCTTTGGATCTTCTGCACATGTGACGTAATCTCACTCGTCGTCCAAGCAGCCGGTGGTGGCCTTGCATCTTCCGAATCGGACAAAATCGGCGGAGACACGGCACCAGGCACAAACACCATGGTAGCCGGTATCGTCTTTCAGCTGATCTCTATTACAATCTTCGTCGGGTGTGCAGGTGACTTCCTCCGTCGAATTATCAGACTTGGATATCTGAGCTCGGCTTCGGGGTCTTTCATGATGCTGATGGGTGCGATGGTTCTGTCGGTTGTTTGTATTTACATCCGGAGTATTTACCGTACTGTGGAATTGGCGCAGGGGTGGAGTGGATATCTCATTACGCATGAGTCTTACTTTATTGGGCTTGATGGTGTCATGATGGTTATTGCTGTTGGAATTTTCAATGTTTTTAATCCTGGCTGGTTGCTTTCTTCTGTTGGGGGTGCTGGTTTACCTGTTTCTCGGCCGACTGCTGAGGTGAAGCCTGTACGCTATTGAGGTGGGATACCCCAATGTAGCACATAGGCTTCAGAATGTACGAGGGTAGGATGCCCGGTCAATATATTCTGTAGACTCAAGACAGGTGTTTCAGTTACTTTAATTCGCACTTTGTCCAATCCATATTGCTTCCTGCATACTGTACGGCTATTTCAGATGGTAACTCTACAAAAATTATTCCTGTCAATCCCTACATGACTTTCACGTTACCTCTAGAGTCCAAGTCATACCTTGGTAAGCCCTTTTTGATGTTGTTATATTGCATTTCAAGCTTTTTCGCTCAGCAGTGTGAAGTGTTCGTGTCTGATTCATGGGTCGCATTAAACCGGGTCCTCCAACCTCCCCAGCAGCAAGTATGAGGAGATTACTATGTATGCGCCCTAAATCAGCAGTTAGTATGATGCAGGATGATTCTGTATGTTAATTGTGGCGAGTACGAGATCATTGGTACCAAACTCGGCAACCAACATAATCAACGCCAGCCTAGTTCCCGCTCATCAGGTATGTTTTTCCTGAGCTGAGGCTCATAGAAGCCGAAACCTAGGCTCCGTCGTGCGCATGCGCGTTCTCGGATTCATCTCCGGCTTCTTCTTCTTCCTCTTCTTCGTCCACGCTCTCCCACTCGTCATCGAGTTCGCCCACGGCGAACTCTTCAAAGTCTGCCTCTTCCATGACTTCGTCTCGAAGCAAGCTGAGTAACTGCAAGAGTCCGGCTTGCGTGCCAAATGTGCCTTGCCCTGGAGGGTTCTGACTGGAACTTTGTGTACCTTCAGTCGATGCTGAAGGGTCTGCTCCATCATGAGAGGTTGGAGTAGCTTTGTTGACGAGGTCAGGAGCTAGGCTGACGATGCGGATGGCTTTGGTGGGGAAGACACGAGCCGGGTTTGCGCCTGGGGCGGCGGGAATTCCACCGGGTTGAGTGGAGTCGCGCCAGCCAAGGGTCTGTGTTTGTCTATGTAAGCCCATTCGTTTCTTCATAATTCAGATGTTTGATCATTGAACTCACGGTGTAAGTGCTCATAATTGCATCATCGGCCAACGCCATGTAGCTGATTGGGACGGCAAGTTGAGGTGCGGAGCTGGTGAGCAGCGAGTAGGAAGCGCGGGTGGGATGTTCAACATCCTGAATCTTATCGTTATCATCAAGAGCAACGACGTAGATACGATCCTGAATCTCAAACATGACTCGGTGATTGCGGACTGATAACCAGCCTCCGAGGTCAAAGCTTGACCCATCTGACTCGCACTCAAGAATGGAGCTGTTCGCTGCCAGGCTGGCTTGGTCATGAACTGCCTTGCGCCAGTTGGAACAAATGAATACACGACCGGCACGAGAGAAGCCGACAAAGAGATTGCCGCGAATCATACCCGATCCCCATTCATCCTCTCCGTGCCAGACGTGTTCAGGGTCACTTGGCGCAGGAAGAGGGCCTTTTTCAATCTTGATTGGCACCAGCCCATCCTTGCTTGGGGTTCCAGGTGGGAAGAAACGATGCGATGGGCCGAGTCGCGCAGCTCCAGCCAGAGCTGCGCCTGCAGAGGGGAATGTGGCCGGGGGTGGGCGGACGTGGTATCTGTCAGTGCAATGGGCCGGTTGCAAGTTGCCCAAGAATGCACCAGTTTCCTTGTTGTATGCAAAGTATCCCTTCTTTCCCATTGAATAAATCACCGCGTCCTTGCTCTGGTCTAGGTGGCCGACACCGTCTTTCTCTATCTTCAAGTGCGTGGTCAATTTTGGAGGCCGCTGCGTCATATCGTAAACAAAACCCTGTCCCTTGTTAGACACAACGCAAAGGTTCCAATGAGACAGCTGGAAGCCTCTAGTCTGACAATCGTGGTTCAAGATCGCAATGCGACGGAACTCTCCGCGCATGGCGCCTTCTTGGTCCGTCTGCCAGACCTCCACGGAATCTCCTTCGCTATCAAACACGGCCATTCCATCCTGATACTCCAGGTGGGCGTATGGTCGGACCGAGTCACCATCGGTATCCAGCACCGAGGGAAGTCGCCATAAGATGTCGCCCGTGTCCATATCAGTGACGTTCAATCCTCCAGCATGAGAGGTGGAAACAAAGAACCGGCGCTTGAAATCGGCTTTGAATCGCCAAACAGGATCATTGCCAACTTGAAGCACAGACTCCTGGCTCACTGGACGTGTATCGGCCCAATTACGAGCGAGTAGTGTTTGGCGCTTGCATAGATCCTTCCATGACGTTGTGTTCTCAAATACTTTGGCAAAACTGTGTGTGTCGGAGAGGAACGAAAAGTCCCGGGAACCTCCAGGGGGGTGAGACGTCTTCGAGTCGGAAGTGTAGATTGCTTCTTGGTGGGTGACGTCGATAAACTGATGCCAGGCCTTCGAGGTAGCAGTGAGAGACGCGAGGGCCGAGACGGGTGTGAACTCCAGAATTTGGAGGACAATCTCTGGGGGGAGGATGGTGAGAGGGTCTACCACGGGTGCGCCGACGGTCATCTTCGTAGATTTTGTGACACCAAGGGTGTTGAAGGAAATAAGTGACGATGGTGGGGAATCGCAGTATTTTGTCTGTCCCCACCGCCCTAGCCATGACGTAGTTTCTACAACCACGTGCTAGAGAAGCTTGGATGAGCTTTCTTATTTTAAGCTTAAGTTGATGCGGCGTCAAAGATATCCGGCTATCAGTGGGATAAGCTTTCGGCACAAAGTGGTGAATTCCACGAAAGACAAATCGAAAAATTATACGGAGTGTGCACCTGGTCACATATAGACGGAACACGCAATAGAACAGAACGTTCTCTAATATTTTGTCTAAGCTCTCTGCAGAAAATCTGTCCTAGGCTCTCATTCAGCCATCCATGCTGCCTTTTGAAGGCAGATTATTGGGCCAATTTATGACGTTGCAATCTTTTGAAGTATATATCACTAAGTCTGGCATCTTGAAAGATATATGCAACTGCAGGAACTGAGAAAAAGGCACAGTATCCAAAGTAACGCTTGGGAACCATATTTTCAGCCTTCGTGCTACTAAGCACCATCGAGGGATTGGGGGAAGATGATCCGCGAATCTATGCGCTCTAAGCAGATGAAGTATTACAGGCTTTTTCAATTAGCTCAGTTTATAGGGAATACTGGCCCACAACAGTGTCCTTCTCCTTTGAGAATTCCTAGTCATTGTCATGACTCTCGGGTACAAGGTTTTATGATGGAATGTTATGAAGACCTGTCAGCAAAAAGCACTAATCAAATGCCAAATTATCCTTAACTTGCAAACTTACGAACTAAATGCATTGAATTGCCCTTTCAACAATCCTAACCCTGTAGATACAGACAGAGCATAGATTTGTGAAATGACAAACTCGGTTAATGATAAACGACGAGCCTCCACATTTTGTACTTAAGTAGTTCTATTTGGGCACCTGTGAGATCTCCACCCCCAACCCCGCCCCCTCACTTCACTTCATAATGGGCAATCCAACCCTCGAAGACTTCGCCGCTCTCCAGTTCGACTACATTATTATAGGCGGAGGAACAGCCGGTCTAGCAGTCGCTGCACGTCTGAGCGAAGACGCCGAAGTCCAAGTTGGAGTCATTGAAGCCGGCCCATCAGCCCTAGACAGAGAAAACAACGGAGCAATCAATATACCCGGCCGATATGGCGAAACAATTGGATCTGAATATGACTGGCAATTCGAAACAATATCCCAGCCAGGTCTTGGAGGACGCTCGCTGCCCTGGCCGCGAGGTCGTGTTCTAGGCGGCACAAGTGCACTCAACTTTATGGCGTGGAACCGCGGCCATCGTGATGATTATGATGCGTGGGCTACATTGGGTAATCTGGGGTGGGGATGGGAAGATCTTCTGTACGCATTGCCATGTTTAGATTGATTTCTACTTTGCCTATGAAGTACAGTGAGCTAACTTATCGTAGACCCTTCTTCCGTCGCAGCGAGAACTTCCACCCGCCTAGCGCTGCTCATCAGGAATATTATAAGTCTGCTTATGATCCCGAAGTTAACGGAACAGGTGGGCCTCTACAGACGTCGCATGTTAAACAATACGGCATCGCGCACCAGTATTGGCATGATACGCTCAATAAACTCGGAGTAGAATCTATTCCTGATAGTCTGGCAGGTGCTAACAGTGGTGCGTGGAATATGATTTGCACGCTAGATCCAGGCCGTCAGGAGCGTAGCTATTCTGCTTCGGCGTACTACTCACCCATAGCTGGACGCAAGAACCTGCACATTCTCACCGAGGCCACAGTCTTGGAGGTTATACTCGAATTGGGCGACGATAGTGACTGGGCTGCAAGAGGAGTCCAAGTTCGTTGTGGCAAAGAAGAAGCTAGCATCATAGCTACTCGAGAGGTTATCCTCAGTGCTGGAAGTGTGCAATCTCCACAACTCCTGGAATTGTCGGGGATAGGTCAGCGGGATATATTGGAATCTGCTGGTATTGATGTCAAAATTCATAATCCCAATGTTGGAGAGAATCTACAGGACCATATGAGTATGCGCGCTTCAATTCAACTCCATCCCTCAGCTGACAATCATAGTGACCGCTACTATCTTCGAAATACCACCTACCTTCCCTACTCGTGACGACATCCTCGGTGACCCTATTCAACGCACTGCTGCTGACCACGCCTATTACGCCTCGCAAACGGGACCGTGGACTGTGATGCCATGCTCTGTGGCCTACACGCCACTCTCACAAATCTTGCAAACAGACGAATGCGCTGAGCTATATAACGATGCTCAAAGGATTGCAAAAGAAACTGGCCGGATATCCGATGCCCTTTTAGCCAGCCAGTTTGAGCCAGGCAAAACACGCGGCCAGATCGAGTCCCTCTTCGATGTTGGAAACTGGAGCCCATATTTTGTCTCTGAGTCGGGCAAGAAGTATGCCACGATGCTTCAAATGCTGCAGTATCCGTTCTCTCGGGGGTCAATCCATCTGCCTCCGAAAGGTGACAAGCAGAAAACCACGGTTGACGACAAGCCTGTTATTGACCCACAGTATTATCTTGGTGCTGGTGAGATCGATAAAAGAATCATGGCAAAAGCGCAAAGGTGGGCAGATCGAATCTGTCAGACTGAGCCTTTGGCCCATATTGTCCGGGGTCGTGTCTTTCCTACGCCTGCTGAAACGTCTGATTCTGAGGAAACTGTGTACGATAAGTTTGTCTCTAACTATACAATCACCGACTGGCATCGTACGTTCCGCTCCCGCTTCCTGGTATATTGAATCTCCTGTTGCTAATTTTCACGTAGCTATTGGTACCTGTGCTATGGGCGGATACCAGAACGCTAAAGCTGGAGTCGTCGACGAAAGACTTCGAGTGTACGGTGTTCGCGGCTTGCGGGTTATCGATGCTAGTATCATGCCATTGCAGATCGGAGCGCATATTCAAGCAACTGTCTACGCGATTGCTGAGAAGGGGGCGGAGATGATTAAAGAGGATTATGCAAGCAGAGGATAGAGACTTAATTCTGACGCATGATGCTATACACCACTAAGAAAACATGTAGTTACGCACGTGAAGACACATAGTATCTCCCAGCAAGAACCCAGCATAACAAGCATGGCTCTCAGGAATTGGATATTTCAATCGAAGCCGCGAATATCCAGGGGTGACCCTTGCAGCTCCGATCATGGCAATCCCGGGGGCATCAAGTGGGTCAATAGTAGCATTAGCACAAGTACATCAAAATATGCAAAAAGCAGGCACCATAACGCAGTGAAATAAAATATCCGGCTCAGGGTTTTCCCTCGGAGATGCGCCGATCTCGCATCGGCTAATGCCTAGTCAGGCCTATCGTGGGGATAGCGCTTCCCGCTAACACGAGGGGCAAAAGAGGTATAAACGGGACGATTTCCACCGAGACTCTGAAAGCTTTTCCAGCTTAGCGCAGACCATTTGACAACCTCTTCCTAGTTGAGTCATTCGTGAATCGTCACACGAAACATCTTAATCCGACGCGGAAACTGATTCCCGCGTGGCTCGAACCATATATACTGCCGGGGATCTTTCCTTTCACTGGGCAGTTATTGCATACACATTTTTTATCCGGCATTATGATTTCTGGAATCGCGCATGTCAACATTACTATCCCGAAGGATACCTTGCATCATGCCCAGGAGTTCTATGGTACTACTCTCGGGCTGATCTCGGCGCCGGTACCTGAGTTGCAGAAGGGGACTATTCTATGGTAAGCCGACTGAACTATAGACCCAGGAGAATGTACCTAACCTGCTGTATAGGTTCAACCTCGGCTCCAGTGGACAGCAAATACATGTTACAATCGGTTCTACTGATCCCACATCTACCCGGCATCCGTGCTTTAAGCTCGATAGCCGTGAGGAACTTGATGAGATTAAGACGAGCATCTATGAACATCATATTCGGGGTGGACCTGCAGCACCACTGGCTGCTGATAAGCCTGGAGAGCAGGATTCTGGTAAGTTACTCGTTCATAACCGCGGTCCATACTTCCGTGTGCTCATGCATCATAATTATAGGGACCCAGGGAAAGGAGTATCCCACACGCTTTTTTGCCCGCGATTATGGAGGTAATTTGCTTGAATTCACTATGTAAATACTTTGATCTTGAAATGCGAATTGAATGAATTGCACTACACACATAATCCATGGCCTTGACTTTTGCCAAGAAAAAGACCTACAGCCCTGATGTTATTAGCCAGGGTGGTATGGATCGATCTGATGAGGTTGGGTTTAAGTTATAATATCACATTAAGATGAGCGTATTGGATATACATGAGCTAGCCAAGACCTAATTGTTATAAGGTTGAGTCAATATGCGTAATAAACACAGTGAACCAACCCTGTTACCCCACATCGTCATGACTCAACATGACTCTACATGACTCAGGCACCCTCTCCACTCCTCCACCCAGTACTGTTTATAAGACTGCTCTTGCAGGGAGTAGCTGCTCATAAACTCCAATCCAGTTTAGGGAATACACCACACTACACTCCTCCAACTCAATTCCTGCAAATTCCATGACAATAGCTTCAACCGCAACCTCAACCATAACTACACCCCCCACCATGTCCCTAACCTTCTACGACATCGCCCTGGCACCCCCAGTTGAAAAAACGGCCTGCTCGCCAAACCCCTGGAAAACCCGCTACGCCCTGAACTTCAAAAAAGTCCCCTACAAAACAACCTGGGTGCCCCTGCCCGACATCAGCAAGGTCCGCGCGCCCCTCAACATCCCCGCTTCCCGCAAATTCGCCGACGGATCCCCCTACCACACCCTCCCCATCGTCTCAGACCCAACCACGGGCCGCACAATAGGCGACTCCTTCGAAATCGCCGTATACCTGGAAGAACAATACCCATCCTCGGGAGCCGGGGAGCTTTTCCCAGCCCAGGACCTTGATTTTGTGTTTGGACGGGAACTAGAGCTTTTCGCGCCGATCGCGGTCGCGGATGTCAGTGAGGATGGGCCTATTCCAGCATACGTGCGGTTCAATACGAATGTAGATAGTGCGTTTACTGCGCATGCGCAACTGATGGGGGGTGGGTTGCCTTTGGATCCTGCTAGGGCGCAAGAGACCATAACGGAGTTTGAGAAGAGGATTGGAGTGCCGTGGGATGCTATGGTTCTTAAAGGGGAGGCGAGGGGGAGTTGTTGAAGTCGTTTGAGGAGACACTAAGTGGGCTTGCGAGTTTGTATAGGAAGGATGCGAGTGGGCCATTTGTATTGGGGACTCGGGCTACTTATGCGGATTTCATTGTGGGGGGTTGGTTGCGTATGTGTCGAGGTGCCTTACCTGGGGAAGAGTGGGACGTGATCAAGGGGTGGTATGACGGTTTGTTTGGAAAGTTGCATGAGGCGCTGGAGGTATTTGCACAGATGGACTAGATTTGGATAAAGAATAAACATGTACTCTGAAATTCGATAATCTAACTTATTACGGCTACTATAAATTACGGTGCCTCGTTGGAGGAATCTGAACAATACACCTAAATCAAATCAAGTTAGCAAAAACATGACCGCGATCGACTGTGTTTGATAGCAGTTGCTGTGTTGACCCAGTACTCATAGTCAATTTTAGAGGAGGAAGGGAGCCCGGTGGATTTCGACCACGGGAGTAAGGTACCCGAAGGATTTGGCATACAGACAATTTGGAACGAGAATGGAAGAAGGGACTTCAAAGCCGGATCATCATGGATGAGGTTGCAGATTGTAAAGCTGGAGGATTTGGTGACGCTCCTGTATGTATGATAGGAGTCTCGTATACGTTAAATAAATACTAGGGGAAACCAAGATTATATCCTATTATCCCTTCGATTAATCTCTAACGGTTATTTAGGACTACCGCTGCTAGTGCCTAGCCGCCCTTCTTAACCACTGATGAACCACTGATGAACCCGCAATCTCCTTCCTAATGAAATTTGATTTCCCCGAGTCGTAATCAAGCCAGACAATTCACAAACGGCAGGCCGACTTTTTCCTGGATCTCTCTGAATGCCTGAAGTAACTTTTCTTCCTCCAACCTTTTAGCAACTAGCTGCAAAGAAACAGGTGCATCCTTCTGCTTTACCGGGTCATAATGCTCGTATGCCCAGCTGTCGAATTCGTTCTTCGGGGTGTAAGTGGTGTCCTTGGCATCTCTCTCAGGATCCACCTTGGTAACGGGGAATACAAGGGCTGAATAATCGAGAAGATTGAATAAAGAAGTGTAACCCCAGTACCTCGAAGTGTTGTGAAGGGGGGCGGGCGTGGGGAATGCGGGACAGAGTATAACATCCATTTCGGGCGCAACATTGTTCCACTCTGTATCGGAACCAAGTCAGATCAGAATCAGGACTACCATGGATGATTGATGTACTAACCTTGTAGATAGGCGTAACGGAACATCTCCCGTTTTCCAGTCCAATCCCACACGCCCTGCTGGCTAAGTTCTTCGATGCCAGGGGCATCCCGCAAAGTCCAAGACGTGAGTGGCGTAAATGGCTCACCAGAAGCCTCGACATGCCTGGCAAATGCTTTTCCACCATCTGGAGCATAAAGCCTGGTCTATATAGGTTCATTGGTTAGTTCAGCTCACATTGATTACTGAAGTGATATAGACCGCTTACCAGAATCTCAAGAGCCTCCTTCTGTTGATATGCCTTCCATTCAATAACCTCAATACTATCCACCAATTTGAGACGCTCAACCACTTCTTTCAAGGCCCTTGTCACTGCCGGTGCGGGAGTAACGACATCGTCGGTCCACATCACACCGACGGTTAGCTTCTTGTTATCCAGGTGAATGTGCTTCTCATGGTCTCTCCAAGGGATTGGAAGCATCATCGAGTCTTTGACCCAGGGCTTTGATTCGATTATCGTCTTCATGAAAAGTTCAACACCGCCCAGTGTTGGTGAAATAGGCCCAAGTGTTCCCATAATTGTCTCACATCCGAGGACATAGGCAGCGCAACCGATTAGCGGCAGTCGACCGGTTGAAGGCTTTAGGCCATAGAGGCCACAATTGGCCGCGGGAGAGCGAATACTACCACCTGGATCTAATGTTAGCAATGAAGAAATCAATCCAGAGAATCTGGAAGCATACCGATGTCTGAGCCAATTCCTAGAGGACTGCCATAGAGGGCTTGCAAGGCTGACTCGCCGCCAGAAGAACCACCAGGTGTGAGAGCAGTATTATGTGGGTTGGTGGTGGTGCCAGTGATATTGCTGCAAGTTTCAAGAGCCATCTACCGCGAAACCAAGCAATTAGCCATAAATTAACACATTCCGAAATTTGGATCTGCTAACCAGTCCCTGTGGCTCGGTTGTTCTGGCATAAACAACGGCGCCGGCATCCAAGAGGATATTGACAATATTTGAATCATCTGGGCTCTCCTGGTTGAGCCAACTGACGAATCCAGCAGACAAGTCTCGTCCCTTGAGGCCTACATGTCCTTTAATGCTAATTGGTAAACCGTGAAGCGGACCACAGGGCTTTCCATGCTTTGCAACGTAATCGTCGAGTTCCTTGGCGCGGGCGATGGCACGGTCAGGAAGAAGCTCGTAAATACAGTTGGTCTAAGCAGATGAATGACAGTTAGTATTCAAAATTCGAGGTATTTGCTGGGCACAACCTGCAGCATTACTCACCAGCTTGTGAGCGATCGCAGCCCGCCGAAGAAAAGCGTTTGTTACCGTGATCGCAGTCAATTTACCCGTTGCAAGAGAAGCCACCAAGGTCTCAGCGGAGCTCTCTGTAATAGCGATCTCCGTCTGCGAAAGGTGCTTTCTGGGGAAATCTATCACCCTGCCTGTGTGTGTATCGGGAAGAGCAGCGATGGCGGGGTCAGCCTGCTCTATAGAACGATCGCGCACTGCCTGGACCTGGCGGGCAGACTCTTGCCAGGAAAGCTTCTGTTGAGGCACCACAGTCATTTTTCTAGCTGAGGTTGGGTGGTTTCAGGTCTGGGTTGGTTGAACGAGTTCTGTAGAATGCAGCACTGTCTAAGAAAAACGGAAGCTGGGCATCCTTCCATCATCTTCGCAGTACACCGGGCACACGAGGAGTGTGCGACCATGCAGGGAAAAGGCTCCAGTTCCTGGCCCCAATGTTGCATCTCCATTGAATTGGACGGCAGCAATAGGCGATCCTGTGCGGGCCGTGTCTCCACTGTGCGGCGCCGAGAGGCCCCAACACACTTTAATTGCAGGTCCCAATGTTGCATTGTTGTATTTGCCCAAGCGGAACAAAGGACCATGCGACTCTCAGGTTAGACTAGCCCCGGTGACACCCGCCCGCTCCCGAATAGCGGGCCGTGGATCTGCAGTCGTCATCTCGAGTTTCAAGTCGTGCCATCCTCGCAGGATTTTCACATGTGGGTAACATCCTGTAGCATCCCTGCAAGATGTGATAGATTTGGGGGCCGAGCACCCTTGAAAATGAATTTGAGGATGACTGCTGGGCGAGACTTTAACGAAATAAAGGTTTATACTCTTCATATAATCAGGGCCTTGAATTGTGAGAAGTGGGAGTTGACAACTCCTGTCGGCACATATGACCGACCTTCAGGAGGACTTCGGACCAACGCTATGGACGGTGAACACAATCTTCATTGTACTAGCTACACTCGCTGTTGTTGCTCGCTTTGGGGCTCGACGACTGCGAAAGTTGTCTCTCGGTGCAGATGACTGGATTATCTGCGTAGCCCTTTTGTGGGACTGGCTCTTATATGGGATATTCGTGGGATGTTAGTACTACGATTATGACTACGATCATGCTAAAGAATCACAGTACTAATACTGACGTGCTTTCAGGTCGGATTAATGGCCTTGGCAAGCACCGAGCAACCCTCTCACCAGAAAAAGTCGCTATATTCACGGAGCTCCTCTACTTCTTCCAGATCTTCTATGTGCTCGGTCCCCCGAGTGTGAAACTGGCACTGCTCTTTCTGTACAGACGCATTTTCGAGCATTCGAGTTTCTTGCGAATTGTCGACGGCATGATTGTTCTAATATCTGTGTGGGCAACTACCATGACTTTCCTCGCCATTTTCAACTGCAAGCCGATTAGCGCCTTCTGGACAACGGAGGGAACTTGTTTTGACTTTAAGCAATTTGCCATCGGCTACGCAATTGTAAATATTATCAGTGATTTTGCAGTTTGGTTGATGCCAATTCCTAGAGTGTGGAATATTCAGCTTCCGAAACCGCAGAAGATTGCTCTGTCCCTAATTTTTGCATTGGGTCTTTTGTATGGATATTCTTTCTTTTCTATCCTACTCAAAGGTACAGATAAGTGCCAATATTCATGCCTTGCTGATACATCATTCTCTCCCAGTGATTGCGCTGCAGCTATGGCCCGCCTTCTCCTCTCAATGCTTGTCCTAGGCGAATACGACACCACATGGCTCTATGCAAAGGGATACATGTGGTCCATTATCGAAGTCTCAACGGGCATTGTCTGCACATGTCTGCCAACGATGCGAGTACTCTTGAAGACAGCCTTCGGTGGCGCTTTTGCAAGAATCTTCGGCATGTACAGCGGGAAGGCCAGCCATCAGATGTCAAGCAATACGCCTCGGTCTAGGACAAATGAGTATTATAATGATATTGGAGAGGTCAGGTCGGCGAAGGTCTTTTCCAACGCCCATCGTACAAACGATATTTCGGGATCGCATGGTGCAGACTGGGACGCGAGCTCCCAACAGATTCTGGTGACCGAGGAGGTAAATATTGAACTTCAGCCAGGCAAAGAGGCATCTGTAAAGATCAATTAATTCGCTCACTGGACTAAAGTGTTTGTCCATTTCTGTTGAGGAATCTATTCAACTACCTTGCCTAATCTGGGCGCTACCTACCCCGAAATACGTATTTCCTGAACGGGCACGCCTTGTGGAAAACTTTACGGACCCGAAGCAGAGAACTTGACGAGGACAGCTGTTTGCACGTCGTATCTAGGATATACGGACATGGTTGCGCTCTTGCGGCTCTGCGAACCGAGTAGGCGAGGCAACCGAGTCAATTGGAATCTCGATGATGAGGATGACCTGCTTGAACAGCTAGAAGAATCCACGTCTCCTGAGCATTGACGCCGATGGTGATTCCCATTAGACCGTCGTTGCCACTATGTTGATATGTATACGTGATCCTCTTTTCAATACGTGCTCCATGCTCATGGCAGGTTTCATACTGTAGCTGTTGCACACTATGATCGATAGGCACGTTATGGTCGATAGGCCGTAGCATGGACCGCCTCTATACATCGCAGCAGAATAACATCGCCGCTCAGACTCGCGCCTGGGCGACGTAAGACAAGACTTTCCATTTATCACAAGACTCCCGAGGTCAACCTGACCTCGCACAACAGATGTACATGCACTATTATCATTATCACCGCCCACCCTTCTATGCTATACAATACATTCAGTCATCCCTAATTTTTACCTCCTTCCACGCCTGAATAGCAACAACCCCCAATATCATCAAGAACAAGAAAATAAGAATAAACGTCCTCGAGACAATGCCACAAGACTTCTGCGCACTCTCGCGTCTCTCCCTTCGCTCTCGTTGGCGATCACATTCAGCACAGTGAGCATGCTGATTATCCTGTGTTGACAGGGGGATCGAAGAGGGATCTCCGGTATGCTGATGTTGATGGGCTTGCTCAACGTCTACATCCGCTGTGTCGTCGATTTGACCGACCATGGCATACTATTCAGTCATTTAAAGTGATCAGTAACACACCACATGCTATGGGTATGCGACAAAGAATGTGTTAAGCACTCCACTTACACCAGCGCGACCGCCACCAGGGCGCTCATGGAATAGATCCTCGTAAGCCGGGGCTGCTTCAGTGGGAGATGAATTGCCCATGATGAATATGTATGTTCAGTTCGTGTTGGATGGACTAGTGGTCGTTGTAAGGCGGGGTGGAGAACATTCAAGAATCACAGGTCGATCTGAGATGTTTATCTAAGGGGCTAGCTAGGCTAGGCAACAGTTGACTAAAGTGGTTAAGTGGGGAAGTGTGGCTGAGAGACTTTGTATACTGTATGTACCTCTATGAAGTCATCTATACTGTAGTCATGTACAAAACCATGTAGCGAAGTACAGTATTTGGCGAGAATGTATGGTCATAGACCAAACAAGTTCATGATATCTGTATGCACTTTCCGCCCCCACCCTTAGTCAAGAACGCCCGACACATCCCTGGCAAAGATCCACACTTGTAGCGCACTTAAGAGCGGAGTGTCCCAACCCTCCGATGACATCGTCACCTTCATTCGTGTTAAAGTGTTGGAGGTAACTATCCCGCTCTCTACATATAACCCCCATTCTCAATGAACCGAAAACCTTTAATACAATACTCTCATACACCCTGTACACCCTATCCTCTGTTCAAACCCTACTTACAAGGTGGACTATAGTTAACCCAAATCCCAAACAGCCTCGCTATCCAACTCCGACTCCGACTACACGATCATCCCTCCATAATGGTCTTCGCATGGCTAAAAACCTTCTTCACATCCCCATCAGAAGAGAAACAACCCCAATCATCAAAACGAGAGACCAGATCACACGGTCGGTCACATAGCAAAAAGGTCCGCGATCGGGAACGCGAGTTGCGCAGGGAGTGGACTGGTCAGAAGGGGGATTGGAATAAGTTTCAGTCGAAGGGGGGTGCGTTTGTCGGAGGTGTATGTTGAGTTTGAATCTGCTGCGTCTTGTTCTATTTCTTTATCTATTTACTAGCTGATATGATACCATGAGGTGTACCTGCACTGATGCATAGGCATGATTTAAATTTACATTTGCATTTACAATTACGATGGCGATGTATAAGACGGGAGAAAGGCGTTAAAGTAGAACAGATAGATTATCATGTTGAAATTTGATATAGGACATATAGTAAATGCCGAGATGAATCCTAAAGAAAAGAAAAAGAAAAAAACAAACACCATGCAACAGAGAAACAGTGAAACACTAACAACTTATAAGAAAAAAGAAACAAGAAAAAACATCAAGTCATAATAGATACTCTAATCAAGTAATCAAAGACCAAGCCTATATTTAAGCAGAGCCAAGATACTTGAGCACATTCTCACGCTCCTCAACAGGCAGCATAGAAAGGACTTGCTGAACACCACGAAGACCACCCTCCTTGTTACCAATAAGCAGCTGAGCAACCTCAGACGCGACGCCCTCAGTACGGAGAGCCTCGACCTTGTTCTGCACCAGCTTCTTGTTCTCCTCATACCAAGTAGCGACCTTGTGGTCGTTGTGCTCGAGCTCCTCATCGAGCAGACCAGTCCAGGCGTGCAGGGTGCGGAGGTGGGTAGCGCGCGGGGAGAGGTCAGGGGAGTCAGTCGTAGTAGTAGCAGCGGGGGAGCCAGAGGCGGCCACCATGCGCTTGACGATGAGCTCTTCGCTGAGACGGCGGCGCAGACGCCAGTAGAAGAAGCGGCGGGCGTTTTGCCATTGCAGGGGCTTGCGAATGGTGTTCTTGGCTTCCATGCGGCCAGCGCGGTCGTGCAGGTCGGCGAATTGGAGGGCGATCTGCATGTACACGGGCAGGAGCTGCTCTTCGCGGGCGGCCATCTTGGTCTTGATCTCGGAGAGCTGCTCCTTGGTGAGGGAGGTGTCTCCCAGAGCGCGGCGGAGCTCGCCGTAGGCTGTGTCCAGGCGGGCCATGGTGTCGAGCTGCTTGTCGCGGCGGTACTTGATGCCAACGATACCCTCGGGCTCGAGGACACCTCCGCGGGCGTCTTCGTCGGCGTACATCTCCATCTGGTCCGGGTTGATGGTGGGGTCGACGACGACCCAGGATCCACCGCGGAGCTCGCCGTGGGGAGGGATGTAGACGAAGATGGGCTGCTCGTACTTGACGAGGGCGTCGACGATGTAGGAACCATACTTGAGGACCTCGTTGTACATGTCACGCTGGCCACCGGAGAATCCTCTCCAGTTGGCGAGGATCATGACGGGCAGCTGCTCTCCGTTGTTGAAGTCGCGCAGGGCCTGGGCGGTCTTGAAGGCGGAGTTGGGATACCAGACACCACCAGCCTCAGTGGAGATCATCTCCATGGAGTCGGGGTTGGCGGGGTCGGCAGGGGTGACGTTCTCGACGGAGCGGGTCTCGACGGCGATCACACCCATGGGGATACCACCAAGACGGGCACGGCCAACAACGACAGTGCGGGCCCAGCCACCGAGGGCCTCCTCGAAGGAGCCCTTGTCGAACAGACCAGGCAGGAAGCCGTCAGCATCCTCCTTACCACCGATGAGATGGCGGACATCATACGGCTGCTTGGGAGGAGGGAAGTAGGCGACATCACGGTCCCAGTCATCGGACCAGGGGCGGATGGGGATGGGAGCACCCTTTTTGTCGGGGACGAAGGACATCCACTCAACAATCTTCTGGACACCCTCGAAGTCGTCGTTGGCGGTCATGTGGGAAACACCATTCTTGTACATGATCTGGGTACCACCGAGCTGCAGGTTGGAAGTGTAAACCTCGCGACCGAGCAGCTTGTTGATGGCAGGGGCACCAGTGAGGATAATGGGCTGGCCCTCAACCTGGATAGCACGCTGACCGAGACGAACAAGGTAGGCACCGATACCGACGGAACGGCAAGTCACCAGGGTGATGGTGAAGATGTCCTCGTAAGCCCTGGAGGTGGCACCGGCAATGAGACCGGAGCCCTTCAGACACTCAACACCAAGACCATCCTTGGCACCAATGACGGTGGTGATCTTGTGACGCACCTCACCCTCATCAGTGATCTCCTCAGTGATGACCTCCTTCTTCTTGCTGGCATCGAAGCGCTTCTTGACCTCAGGGGTGAGGTAGAGGTACTTGAAGCCGGCCTCGGGCTTCTCGGGGTTGTTCCAGGCAACGGAGAAGTAGGGGATCAGCTCATCAGCCATACCAATGCGAGCACCGGAGTTGGCAGACAGGTAGATGCGAGGAATACCCATTTTGCGGGCGAGCTCAGTGCACTTGTGGAAGAACTTGTCTTCCTGAGGACCGAACGAACCAATCTGGAAGGTGATGTCGTTGGCGACGATGATGAAACGTCTGCCGCGGGGGTACTCAGGAGTACGGGCAGTGACGATCCAACCAACCATACCGTGGGAGTTGGTACCGGGCTCGCGAGACACCTCGACAAGGTTGTCGGTGTCATCAAGAACAAGCTCGCTGTAGTCAATGCACTCGCCAACAGGAGGACGCTTCTCGTACAGAGAAGGAATCTTCTCAGCAACCTTGGTCCAGCTGTTCTGGAAGGCCTGGCGGAAGAGCTCGGGGAAATCGTACACGTACTGGGTTCCCATCAAGTGAGCCTTGTAACGCTTGGGCTGCAGCCACTCCTTGGTAGGGTAAGGAGTGGAGACAGGGCGCATGTGCATGGAGCCCAGCTTCGTGGTGCCACCAATGCTCTGGAAGATCCACTCGCCCTTCTCGGACTTGCGCTCGATGTACAGCTCAACGTTGATGATGAAACCGTAGGTGTTGCTGATGATCACACGCAGCGGGTAGGGCATGCCAGTAGCCGGGTCAGTGCAGAGGATACGGATCTCAGCACCGGTGACACGGAGACGCCACAGGCGGCGACCGAAGCGGTCGAGGAAACCGGCAAGGGCCTGCTCGACATCGACGGGCTGGAGGTTGAAGACGGGGGAGAAGTTGATGAAGATGTGGTTCAAATCAGAGTTGTTGTTGCCAATAATCTCCAGAGCATCCAGGATGTCGTTCATCAGGCGGTCAGCCTCCGAGATCAGGTACTCGGCGGTGGGGATATCGTCGCGAAGACGGCCGGGACGAACGACAGCGCGGATGAAGTAACGCTTGTCAATGGCCTTGTCGTTCTCGGGACCCTTGCCAATAGCCTCGTAAACGTGAATGTTACGGTTCTCGGTGAAGACGGGCTTGATGTTGAACTTGCTCAGACGGCCAAGCTCTAACTGGAAGGCAAGAGCAGGCTCGCTGTGACGGATACTCAGATCCTCCTCGTAGTGGGGACCACGGAAGGTGAAGTAGCCGGGGTAGACACCCTGCTTGCCACAGATGAAGGTAACACGACGAATACGGCGGGCTAGAAGCTCGTCCTTGCAGTCGGCGAGCATCTTCTGCATCTGGGCAACGATCTCAGAGTCATCCTGCTCCTCAATATCGCGAATAGCGATGTTGCAGACACCGGTGAGCTCGCTGTCGCTCTCGGGCTTGGGAATGGGACGACGCTTGCCCTCAAGGTTGGCAATCAGACCGTGATCACTGGGGCGCTTGGCAGGGCCGCCAAGAGGGAAAGCCTCGAGAGCCTTGGAAAGGTACTCCTCAGCGTCCTCCAGGTACTGCACAGGGATGATAACACCCTTACGAACGGGGTCGCTGGTAGGGTCGTTGACAAGGTAAGACATGTCGCTGATGGAGTTGATACGCTTGAAGGGGTTGCTCTCGGCAATGGGGGTACCAGGGGCCGAGGGCTGGGTGGAAGAAAGCGATCCGAATTCAGGCTGGCCAAGCTTGCCGAGGGTGAAGTCCCAGGACAGGAAGGGCTGCTCACTGGAAGAGTTGTACTCAATGCCCTTGAGAGTGTAGGCACGGTAGGCACGGCGAATGTAGACTTCCAGAGAGGCGAGGGTCACCCAGGGGTCGGAGTGGACGAAGAAGCGGGGCAGCACATCGAAGACGGTGTACTTGGAGTCAACGACCTCCTTGAGGACCTCGAAAGCAGGCTCACGGTGCTCCCAACCGGTCTCGCCGTAGCGGGACTCAACAACAGAGGACTTGAGAATGTGCTCCATCTGGGAGAGACGCTCCTCGAGAGAGGGCATAGCACACTGGATCAGAACCTCACGGGCTTTGAGGGTGACCTTGGCGGAGGAGCGAGACTCGAGCTCGGTCAGCTTCTTGAGGACAGGCTTGAAGTACTTGCCAACATTCTCCACGTTGGGCTGGTTGGGGCGGTACATGTCGAGGATAGCCAGGATCAGGTTGTTCTTGGAACCGATGCGACTGTGGGAGAGGACAGTGTGGACAATGCCGGTGATGTCCTCCTTGTTCTCCTCACGAAGCTTCAGGATGACATCCTCATCACGGTAGTTGTGGGTAGCGAACAGCTTCTCAACCTCGTAGTACTGCTCAAGCAGACCAATGAACACATTATACTCGTTGGACTTGAGACCGTCGAGGTACTTGTTGATGACCTGGATCAAGGGTAGCAAAGTAGTCTTGAGGATCTCAGCATCGGCAGGGTTGATGTTCTCCTCGATGAAGCGAACAATGGTCTTCTGGAGCTGCTTGGCAGGGAACTCAGCCTTGCGAGCCTTGGCCTTGTCAACCACGGCCTGGAGCGAAGCATCCAGCTTCTGGGGCATGCGAGAGTGCAGGGCAGAAGACTGGGCGTTCCACTCGCCGTAAGGCAGCTCAGGGTTGCGCAGAACCTCAACCAGCTCCTTCAAGGTGGTACCCATGATGACCTGGTTGTCGAAACCGCGCAGAATGTTCTCCAGAATGCTATGCAACAGGAAGAACTGCTGAGGAGGCTTGGTACCGACCACAACGGGGGAGCCAAGCTCGGGCAGCTGACCAGTGAAGGGCTGAGCGTGCTTGACGCGCGAGGGGTCATCAAGAGCAAGGATACCAAGAATATCACCAGCCTCGAGGGTGGCTCCGGGCTGCTTAATGAGCTGAACAACACCATCCTCCTGGGCAATGAGGGGCATGTACATCTTCATGACTTCAACCTCGGCGTAAGCCTGGCCAGAGCGGACGTGCTCACCATTCTCAACAGTGAACTTGACAAGCTTACCGGGAGAAGGAGTACGGAGCTGAGTGGGGTCGTTCTCCTGCTCAAGAAGACAGGTCTTGCCATCGACACTCAAACGAGTGGCAGCGGGCTCCTCCTTCCAGTAGACGTTGTGACTGCGTCCGCTGAGGAGAACCAGGAGACCACCATCAGCAAGGGCGCGGACACCAACGGAGCACTTGGAGCCGTTGATGAAGAGGTGGTAGCTGTCCAAGCTGGCACGGGTAGCAGTGAACTTGTAGCGCTCGCCCTCGTAGATGAAATCGACGGGGAAGACAGTCTTGAGGATTTCCTTGGAGGGGACCTGACCCTTTCCGAGGCCGTTGCGGTACTCCTCAATTCCAGCCTCGCTGGCGAGGTGGGCCTTGGTGACAGCACCACAGATGATGGCAACGATCTGATCGGGGCGCTCGGCAGTCAGCTTGTTAGAGATAAGCTGGTCCAACCAACCCGTAGTGATGGTGTTGTCCTCGAAGGCGGGAGTCTCGAGAAGCTTGATCAGGTACTCGACAGTGGTACGGAAATCGCCACGGATGCTCAATTCCTTGAGGGCAACAACCATGTGCTTCCGCGAGGCAGAACGGTTCTCACCATACGCAAAAATGTGACCGAACTGACTGTCGGAGAAACTGTGGATACCACCGGCAGTACCGACGGAGAAGTAACCCCAGACGTTTGAGGAAGAACGGAAGTTCAGCTCGTGCATGGTACCGCTAGAAGGCTTGAAGCCCTCACCAGGGTCTTCGGAGGTGATACGACAGGCAGTGGTGTGGCCCTTGGGCTGAGGACGGCGCTGGGTCTGGTAGCTCTCCTCGGTGGAAAAGTCGAAGTCAATTTCGGCGGAGGTGTTGGGATCGACACCGTAGAGCAGACGAATGTCGCGGATGCGGTGTAGGGGAATACCCATGGCAATTTGGAGCTGAGCAGCGGGGAGGTTGACTCCAGAGACCATTTCAGTGGTGGGATGCTCGACCTGAAGACGGGGGTTCAACTCGAGGAAGTAGAACTTGTCGTCCGAGTGCGAGTACAGGTACTCGACGGTACCAGCAGAAACGTATCCGACCAAGCGACCAAGGCTGACGGCAGCGCGCTCCATAGCCTGGAAGGTAGGCTGCTTGGCGATAGTCACAGGAGCCTCCTCAATAATCTTCTGGTGGCGACGCTGAACGGAACAATCACGACCGAACAGGGAAATGTTGTTACCGTACTGATCAGCCAGCAACTGAACCTCCAGATGGCGGGCGTTTCCGGCCAGCTTCATAATGAAGATAGGCGAACCCGGAATCTCGTTGGCGGCGGCATTGTAGAGAGAAACGAACTCCTCCTCGTTCTCGACCTTTCGGATACCCTTACCACCACCGCCTTCGGAGGCCTTGATCATAACGGGGAAGCCAATCTCCTTGGCCTTCTCCAGACCTTCCTGAGGGGAGAAAGTACAGCCCTTGTTGTAGACATCGTCCTCGACTGTCACGATACCGTTGTCATCGAGCTTCACAGCGTCGACACCGGTTCCAGACCAGGGGATACACGGCACACCAGCGTGCTGTGCAACAATGGTGGAGGAAATCTTGTCACCCAATGAGCGCATGGCCGAAGCAGGGGGTCCAATGAAAATGATCTTCTTAGGAGAAGCAGCCAGCGACTCGGGTAACCGAGGGTTTTCGGAAGCGTGACCCCTAACACAGCGTCAGTTCGTGCATTCTCTCTGCTCTTGTAAAGCGTGCTTACCATCCTGCCCACACGGCGTGGACATCCATCCGCTCCGCCACATCGACAATCAACTCGACGTTGGCATAGTTATTATTATTCGTTCCACCGGGGACCTCGACGTATTGATCGGCCATACGGATGTAGTCGGCGTTGGCGTGCAGATCTTCCGGCGTGGCCATCACAGTGAACTGGATGGCCCGCTCGTTGCCAAAGGTCTCGTAGGCCCATTTCCGCACTGACCGGATTTCTTTGACAGCGGCGATACCGTTGTTGGCAATAAGCACCTATCGAGAAGGTCAATCCAGTCCATTACCATTATCTCGCATTTGGGGGCCGGGGCCGCGGTGAGCCGTGGGAGCCATACCGATGTGATGACGGAGTGACCGTCGTGAGCGGCCACGAAGTCCTTCACGCTACTCGGGCTTGCTGATTCGAGGGCATTGCCACCGATGAAATGTGAGGGGATGTTGTATTTGGCGGCCATTGAGCTGCCGTTGCCGTTTGTGATGCCCATGATTAAATGAGACAGCTCCCAGGCAGTAGTGGAAGAAGTCAAAGCTCCGGGTACGGAGTGCGATTAAAAGTAATGTACAACGAAGTGGCGGAAACTGCCCGATTGGTGGCTAGAGTCGGAGGGGGAAGAGATAGAAAGGAGTAGAAGGAATGGAGACTCGGGAGTTAGATCTGCAGAAGGAAGGGAAAAGCTCTCGTCAGCGTCAAGTTCGAGGAAACATAGCGCCAAATGCGGAATCGGCCTGCAGTTTGGTCGCAAACGGCCAGATCGGAGCAATTCAGGCACAGGAGGGTTGCACTCACCGGGACCACCAAAACCCGTAAAAATTAATCAAGATGCAAAAAGAGATTCAGGAATCTGGCCTCAAGAAGAATAAGAAAAAAATGCTGAGGGATGATTACCTGGAGTCCCACCAAGGTGGAGATCCCAACTGCGGCGATGGGCCTAAGTACCCCTGCATAGTTAATAGTATGGAGAGGTACTTCCAGCCCAGGAACACTTTCCCCAACTCCCTGGCTTTGTTGGGCCGGTTCCACTACCACTGACGCCCACCAATTCCACCACGGCAATTTTATGTTAAGTGGCTGTTAGATTATGAGAGAATAGTTTAGACATAGCTTGTCGATATTTACATGTAGTTCATGTTCTATCTAATTGCCTTCCATATGTATATCTCTTGAGATATACCCATTTGGTGACCGAAGCCCGAGGGGTTTCGGTGGGATCAACAATTTCGAAGGGTTGCAGATCCGGTATACATTCAAGCTACCATTCCATACTTCGATCCAATGCTATCCAATGCGATGCTAAGAGTATAGCGGAATAAATTAAATCTAGATTCACGTCACCTCAATGGCGCGGACGCTAAGCCTATTCCGCACCTGCGCATTATTCAACAGCATAGCCCTCCCTCACAGTTCCCTGTTTACAGGGTTAGTTTGGTATATCTTGGGGAACCCTATATTGAAGTCAAAATATTATATTCGTGTAGAGTACCCATCATGCTGGGAGGTGATAGCTTAAGTGTTGAGCGCTTCTATATGCAACTCTATACCGGCAGATATATATGCAGCCACATGGGACTCGACCCCGCTGATACGGTAAGGCCACCCACGGCACCGGGTCAGGCTACGAGAAAGCAAATTGAGCATAACAATCATGGGTATTATTGAACGAAAAGTCGAGTGCTGAGACACAGCTTAGGACGGCCCCAGGAATCCACCTGGGGCCACAAAAAAAAATTTGGACCAGGCCTGGCTGGTCGAGGCACACCAGCATGCAAAACTGTATAAGGGATGTGCCCAGGACTGCGGGCCGTGAAGCATCGCAATGAAAAGCAAGTATGTAAAACATCAGAAGCCCACGCAACCACCAGATCCCATACCCCCCACGTGAGCTCCTGAAATACGAATGGCAAATCAAAAGGTCTCGCCCAGGTCACTGACTTGAGTCTTCCGGTTGGGAGGCGGCATGGTTCCAGGCCCGATGCTGGTCTTGAAGCTTCGGGGTGCTGGGATACCGCTGGTGGTACGCTTCTTCACTCCTGGGGTTGGAGTGGCCGAGACAGAGGGCCGGCGGATATCCTGGGAGGTTCGGGATGTTGTTGGAGTGGAGATGTCACGGTCTTCGTCAATGAGGCACATACTACCGATGTTGGGGAGCTGGCCGGCGTGGTTGCTGAGAGACGAACGAGGTCGTCGACTTTCCGTGGTTGGATTTGTCGAGTAATGGCCCAACGGTGTCTTAGCACCGGTATGACTGGATCGGCTTTCGGGTCGGCCATTCGGTGGAACTCCAGAATGCACGCTTTGGCTAAAGGAGCTGCGGCTAGAGTAACTGGTTCGGCTGCTTGGGCGACTTTCGCCGGTTCGTCCGAAAGACTGACGGCTTGGTGGAACGTATGATGGTGTGCCTTCGCTGTCTCGCACGGAGGAACCCAGGCTGCTGCCGCTCAGCCGCTTCCGGGAGTTCCGTCGAACGGTGATCGATGAGGCGACTGGGCTTTCACTAACCACAGATCCCGAGCGAGGGGAGCCACGGGAAGACGTGTCAGACGGCGCGGGCAGTCTTGATTTGGCGGACTGGACGCGCTCTTCGAGCTTCTGCATCTTGCCAATCAGACCACGGATCTGGAACAGCGAGCCAGACTTGGGGAGCCCTGGTGGCCGGGAGGTATTAGTTCTCGTTAAACTGTTGCGAGACGAGATAGACATGGATGGAGTGGAACGGCCATTGCTGTATGCGCCATTGCTGTAAGCGAGGGACGGGGTTCGAGAATGAGTGGTGCGCGGCTGAGGCCGAGCATGAAGTGTTCGAGAGTTGACCGGTTCAGGCCCAGCAGCTCTCTGTCGAGGGAAAGAAGGTGTCGCATTGATAGACTTGCGAAGGTTCACAGACGACTCGGAGATTGGAGGTGAAGGCGGGGTAGCAGTCGCCGACGCAAGGGATGACTTAGCGGGGGGCGTAGCAAAGACTGGGGAAGAAGTAGCGGTACCAGGGGAGCGGTCAAAGATCTCTAATGTCTGAGGAGTTGACGGGCTGCGGTATAGAGGAGTAGGCTTGCGGCGGCGGAAGCCATGTCCTTCGGTGTTCCGGAGCCTCTCTTGGATAATCTCAACTTCTATCTTGAGATCAGACAGCTCGTCCCGGAGACGCTGATTGTCAATGCGCAGTTGTTCGCGCTCCTGTTCTCCGTTTCTGATTTCTTCCTCGAGCAAAACTCCGCGCTCAATACCAATGTTGTACTTGGACTCCATATCCTCCAGGGACGAAGTGGTATTCCGGGCTTGTCGCTCGTAGTCATCGTTGGCAACTTCAATATCACGCAGCTTCAATTGCAAAGTACGGTTTGCGTCTCGCAGCGAAGTAATTTCTTTCTGCAGGTTGTTCTGGGCAGTATTGCCCTCGGTTTTGGACTGCTTGTACTTGGTCTGCCGCAGTGTTAGTGCCCTACTTTAAGCGACAGAGCAGGCAATAAACGCGTAAATACATACCTTCCACTCATCGACTTCATATCGCAGTGTATCAACCTTCTCCTTCAGTTGCCGCTCACGCTTTTCTGAAGCCTCAATGTCCTTCTCCATCTCGGTCTCCAGCTCCCGGCTGGAGGACTGGAAGTCCGCAAGCTCCGCCTCGAGCTGCTCATACTGAGCCTTGTAATGTGCCAATTCATCTCTGTAAGAGCTGCTCGTATGCTTCCGTTCGGAAGGTGACTCATCGACGGCCGGCATCTTCTCGCGTTGGGCAGCGACACGACCAGGCGCAAGGAAGATGTCTGGACGACAAGCGTCGTCCAAAAAAGGCCGAGATCGTTAGAGGCTGTTCAGCAGGCTGTCTTGCCCTGCAGATCGCACCAGCCCCTCTCAAAGCCTCATGTGTTGCGTAATGTTGCGTAGCGTGCCGATGTCAACAACCGTGCGTTGATAAGAGCCCCTCGCCGAGGCGGTGACGCAAGGGATCGGTGTAGTAGTTCCTCCGCAAGAGAGAAAAGAGAGATTTGTCGAAGTGAGAGAGTGCAATGACCTTCCCGCCTCTCTCGCAAAGGCAAAGCAGGCAAAGCGGGATAGATTAGATCGGAGGGAGAAACACAACATCGGTCGTCAGGGGGCCGGAGAACGCTAGTCTCCATCTGGCTGCCCAATGCCCACCGCCTTTTGTGTTTACACGGCCTGACACTCGCGATCTAACGCTGATTGGTTGGGCTTGGCTAGCAGAACACTCCAGATCATAAGTTCCAAGGCAGATAGATCTACATGTTCAGAAGTTCAAGTTACGGTTTGAAGTATGAAATGATTACTTAATTGTACGGAATATAAAGTATCCAATAAAGGGTCAAGTTCGTTTTAACAAGGCAGATCATTCGATACAGTACTTCGCAGGCTAACATATATCATTATCCCTGGCAAGTATATGCCAAAGATTAGGCCCAAGCTTGTTCCTCTTAGTGGATTCCTCGCCCGAGCGCAGTTCATCACTCTTCTTCTCGCTTTGCCTATCAGTATTCAACAAGCAAATGGACTATTGAATACAATCTATAATATAATATAGATATCCATACAATGGTGTATTTACTAAAGCAGGTTTTAATTAATATCTTATTACATACTATAAGTTATCCAATAGTCCAGTGAGTTCGTGGAATACTTCCTCGAACACTTTATTGACTGAGCACTTTACACTACACAGACTCTATCTACATTCATCAATAGTCAGTAAGGTCTATCGTACGTTGCCTAGGTCGAGGTAGCATACAGCATACAAACCTACTCCAGAGTGTACAGTACATGTAATCCTCGCATGGTGGAACAATGGGCGGTGCCCAAGGCGGTAGAGCAGACAGCCAATCATGTAGTCATATAGACGTCCTTCACACCGCCGTGTCCCAAGTTAATTGCCTGAGGCCACCATAATCCTCGAGCTAGGCCGCAATAGTGATCTTGATCGACCTCAGCCCGTGATCTGGATTCAATCCCCAGTCTCCAGTTTTGGGTCTCGCAAAGAAGAGGTAAGTGGTACTTTTTGATTCTCAATTCCCTTTCATCCCAATCCCTCTCAGCGACCCCAACCTTCTCAGAGCATCTGTTTGCCTCCAGAACCACCCAGGTGCTATGTCCACGCACAGCGTTCCTAAGATTGCTGATCTCATCCGGTTGCTTCCACGCACTTGTTTACCCCCAACCTACTTGTCGCAAACTTCATCTGTCCCAAGCTGGCACCGGACTTGCGATAATGGTATGACGCGTACTTATTCGTCCCAACTTCTAGCTAGATCACCTTAGGCCAAGGCCTACCCTGGTCACGATGGCCGACACCACCGATCTGAACCTCGACGATGCGCCGAGCGACCTTCAAGACATTCCAGAACTGGCAATGCAATTGGTGCCCCCTCCTGAAGGCACATACCCTGACAAGTAGGCCTCCCCGCCATTCGTCCCTTGCGTGTTGAATTCGGATGAATAGCTTATCTTCCAACCAGAGCTACCCTTCTCGCCGCAGTCCAGAACCACGGCAAGGAACATGGCTACAATGTCGTCGTCAAGTCATCCAGCATGCCTACTGAGAAGAAACCCGGCCGCACCGCTAAGGTCTGGTTGCGCTGTGACCGTGGCGGTCACTATCGGCCCCGTAACGGTCTCACCGAAGAGACTCGTAAACGGCGCAGAACTTCGCGGCTAATGGATTGTCCTTTTATGCTAGTTGCAGCTGGGTCGCCCGGTATTTGGACATTGACCGTGATGAATGCGACGCATAACCATGGCCCTATTGTTGATAAGCCCCGACAGGCGCCTCAGCATAAAGTCCGCAAGGGCCAGGTGCCTGCTATTCCATATGACTGGCCACATGATTCATCATTCACTCCATACACCACCGCGCTTGTGATTATTGATATGCAAAAAGACTGTATGTGTCTGAACTTGGCCTTCATTTGAATAACTAGAGGTCTAACCCATCTTTATAGTTTGTTTGCCTGATGGATACATGGGATATCAGGGCTATGACATTTCCGCAAATCAGGCTTTGATTCCTCGTCTGCAGCGACTGCTTCTTGCCTTCCGCTCCGGGGGCTTCCCAGTATATCACACTCGCGAGGGTAAGTACTATACACTGATGCTATATTCCCTATCCATGCTACGTATAACTAACAAATATCAGGCCACCGACCCGATCTATCGACACTGTCGAGCCGCGAAGCCTTTCGCTCCCGTAACAATGCATCCGGCTTGGGAATTGGTTCCCCCGGTCCGATGGGTCGCCTTCTCATCCGTGGTGAAATGGGCCACGACACCGTTGACGAATTGTACCCTCTCCAGGGCGAGCCCGTGATTGACAAGCCCGGCCGGGGTGCCTTTGCACACACCGACTTCGAGCTTTTACTTCGTAACAAAGGAATCAAGAACCTTGTCATTGCAGGTGTGACCACCGACGTGTGCGTTTCAACCACCATGCGGGAAGCCAACGACCGTGGTTTTGACTGCGTTGTTTTGGACGATGGCTCTGCTGCCAGCGAGCCATCCTTGCACATTGGAACTATCAATTCCGTTAAGATGGAAGGTGGTATTTTTGGTACTGTTGCCAAGTTGGAAGATGTGGTCCACGCAGTGGACAACTTCAAAGCCGTCACCATGAAAAAGCTGGCTCCTCAAATGGTGGGCTGAGCATCTTTGCTCGTCATTTTAGCAAGGATCTTTAAGGACTGCTGGTAATATCATCGGCGTTTGGAATTGGGATTCAACTCTGTGAGATTGCAGGAAAGCGAAGCGTGCAGACCAAACTCTTCGGGTCATTTTTATCTTTGAGTTGTTTTTTTAGCGGGACAGGAATTTCGGTTTGGAGGATGACGTATTCATTCTCTTTCCAGCCTTTTCAGGATTTGGAAAAGAACGTGTTGCATTTAGCTACTTGATCTACAACCTTTGGGTATCACGAGAATCCAGTCATTTCAATGCATTAAACACAATTCCGTAGATGCTCTGTCAAATTTGCAACTTGCCCGTCTTTTTTGTTTGCAGAGCAGGTTGCAACAATGCAATTGACCCCAGTAAGAAGTCAGACCCATAAACGCCACGCTCATGAAATAAAGCGAAAAGATAAAAATTACAGCCACTTTTTCCCGGCGGCCGTAACTCTCGTCCTAAAAACAGGACTCCGGATCTCCATGCCCTGTTTGTAGAAAGGGCTCATCGCCGTCTTGACATAGTTCTCATACACCTCGTTCATGAATTGGCGCACTGCCTCCTCGGTCTGCGGGGATGTTGGGTTTGCGGCGACGGAGCTTGACGAGGCGCGTGTTGTGGATCCTGCTGACCCTAGCAAAGATGATGACCCAAGACCGCTGCCTGTGCTGGTTGAGGAGGGGAGGTGCGGGGGTTGGTGGAGGAGAAGGAAGCGCGCGCCGCTTGGGGTAAGGAATGCGGAGATGTAGGCTGCGGCTGGCGGGTAGGTGTCGATATGCTTAAGATACCTTTTCACGGTATTAGCCTGTCGGTCCGAGGTTTTATGTAGGATATGAAGAGATTGAGGTATTGGAGATCGCAAAGCCGGGGTCATGAAAGTGTAGGTGTGTCACAGGTGATTCACGAAGGCTCTTTTGCATGGTGCAGGGTTCAACTGATATCAATAAGTTTCTATACTCACATTCCGCCATTCGTCCATTGCGCTTCTTCCAAGATGTCCAGACTCGAGTGAATGATGAACTGGTTCATGTACTGCGCGGTCTCCGGGAAGCGGAACCGGGCAATGCCATCGCCACCTCCCTTGGATGTCCCGAATGCGATGTTGAATAGGGGTGTGTCAGTTGGCGACAGGATGGTAAAATAGTAGGACATTTTGGGCCGATTGAGGTAGCTGAAGGTTGAGATGGGTCGAAGATCATGGGGGCTGTTTACTGGGCGGCCTGTCATCACGTGATACTAGATAAGGTTATTGGTTGGACAATACAGTCGCTGGTATAGGTGAGGCTGTAAGACGGATGATATTAGGGGATTTTTGAGGTTGGGCAGCCTCTTTAACCATGTAGACGACTCTGAGTTGAGGTTTGGAGAAATTTTGATTGTTCTCATTTGGCAAGCATGCAGTTTTAAACATTATATATATTTTGAAGCCCAGAGGTGGAAGGAAATTGTAACAACTTCCAACGTGCTAACTTGCCTTAGATCACTTAATGGGAGCTCAAAATGGCACTTCCAAGTGTACTATACTTGAGCATAATGCTATCATTTGCATGCTTGTTTCAAGTACACATCGAATCTCCCCGCAAAGACCCCTCACGTGACCTACCGATAACCAGCCACTGCTTTATCGCCTATCGCCGTCGCAACTTTTTGACCTCGACAAGCACTACCTCTGTCCATAATACCCACGTCGCATCTATACACCAAGTGTGCACAACCGCTGAGCAACTTGGATTGCGACACTTCCACTATGCCGCCCAACATGCCATACGGATTGCACCTTGCGAACAAGAAAGCGGCGCCGAAACCAGGAAACGCGTTTGGACAAAAACGCAAGAAGAACATATTTGATGATGACTCCGGAGACGAGGATCAGCAGAACGATAATGGTGCGATCGAAGTTTCTACAATTGGAGGGTTAGAGCAGCCAGCACCGAAACAAAAGCCACCTTCAAGCGCAGGACCGCCACCGAAACGGAAAATGCAACTAGGCAGTGGGCCCAAGCCCCCTATCAAACCACTCAGCAAGAGCTCGCTATTTGCCGATGATGAGGATGAAGACGAAGAAAAGGAGAAACAAAAAGGCCAGATCAATCTTGGCCTTAACCAGGCAAAGCCAAAGCAACCGCCAGGTGCTGGCGACGAATACACTAATCTCTCAGCTTTGCATAGCAGTAAGAAGCATGCAAAAGAAGCCGAAGAATTTGACCCATCAATCTACTCCTATGATGCCGTTTATGAGAGTCTTCATACCAAACCTTCCAAGGCCTCAACAGAAGTGAAGAGCGATGTACCGAAATACATGAAGAACCTACTGGAAAGCGCCGAAATCCGAAAGCGGGATCAGCTACGGGCTCGCGATCGTCAACTTGCCAAGGAGCGTGAGGCCGAAGGCGAAGAATTCGCAGACAAAGAGAAGTTCGTCACATCCGCCTACAAGGCCCAACAAGAAGAGCTACGCAAGGTCGAAGAGGAAGAAGCGCGCCGCGAGAAGGAAGAGGAAGAACGTCGGAAGAAGAATGGTGGCTCCGGCATGATTGGGTTCTACCGAGACGTGTTGTCACGAGGAGAAGAACGGCACGAGGAGGTCCTCAAGGCCTCAGAAGAAGCCGCCCGCCGTGTCAAGACAGGTGAGGTGGAAGAGGAAGCAGAGAAACAGCCGGAAGAACAGACCGATAGTCAAAAAGCAGAAGATCTCAATTCTCGCGGTGCTCACGTTGTGGTCAACGACGAGGGCCAGGTCGTCGACAAGCGCCAGCTTCTGTCTGCTGGATTGAACGTCGCACCGAAACCCAAGGCCCAGCCGTCTGCCTCCAAAGCAGCCCCACGCCCCTCTGCACGACCAGGTGCCGCTGCAGGTCACCAGTCTGGCCGTGCTGCTCAGCGTGCTCGACAGACCGACATGGTCGCAAGCCAACTGGAGGAGCGCGCGCGACAAGAAGAGGAGGCAGAGGCTGCAAAGCAAAGGGAAGTGGCCGAGAAGAGCCGCAGCCGCAAGACCGAGGGAGAGGTCTCCAGCGCGAAGGAGCGCTACTTGGCTAGAAAGAGGGAGCGGGAAGAAGCTGCCGCCAAGGAGAAAGCAAAGGGGGCTTGAGTGCAAACAAAAAGGCACGCTCGATGCGTCACCTTGATGGAAATTTGGAATTATATTGCATAGCAGTGGAAGCTTGTACACTAGACATAATATCAGAAACAGCAGTCCGACTCCCTGGTTGAATAATGAAGGCTGTTTGCCACATACAAGCAAGACGAGACTGACTCATATATGTGTGATTCAATCTTCTGAGCCAATCAGGACAGTCATCCTGTGCTCTGACACTATTTAGTACGCGGATGCATTCCTTTTCTCAACTCTTTCAATCATTTACTTCGGAGAAACAAAATCCCGAGATCTTAATACCGGATTACATCATCCCCTGACTCAACATCACATGACACCACACGGGCTCAGTTAATCCGGGCCCGAGACTGCTCGCTAAGCCGCCCCACACGTCGCACTCCCAATTTTGCAACCCCATCGAGACACAAGAATCGCTCCATCACCAAACCACTTCCACCTCTCGTTCATCAAAATCATCCAACATGGGTAAGGTTCACGGCTCTCTCGCCCGTGCCGGTAAGGTCAAGGCTGCCACTCCTAAGGTGAGTTCTCTTCGACACCCCCAAAACGCCACTCGACGATCGCCCGTGGCCTTTCTACCGACCAGTCCTTTTAACGACGATTTTGCATCCAGGTCGAGCCCCAGGAGAAGAAGAAGAACCCCAAGGGTCGCGCCTACAAGCGTGTGCTCTACACTCGCCGTTTCGTCAACGTTACCATGACCGGTGGCAAGCGCAAGGTACATATCGAATGACTCACCCACCACCCACACAACCGAACACACACCGAAACACAACACGCATACACGAATATCGAAAGAGAAGGACTCGAAAAGCTGACACATTGCGAACTACAGATGAACCCCAACCCCGGCCAATAAACTATTCAAGTCGTTGAAAAAACCAACCGCACCGCGATCGGCTAGTCGAGTTACACGATGTTGAGACAAATATTCGCATGACCGCGACACGACCACGGCCCAAACGAACGAGAGCAACCAGATTACGGCTGGTACTTGGACGGATGATATCATGCTTCGTTTTCGCTTGAATTTCTTTTTTTGCTGGTAACGCACGGGTTATGGAGGGTTGAATCACGGAAATTGTTGAATACACATGGCGGTCTGAGGATGGAAGGCTGTGGCTCGGTGTGTGGGCTGTCTACGGATAGTTCTCGCATGCCAGACTTCAAAGTCACTTTCGACTCGTTACATAGGCTGTTCCATGAATGAATTTCCAATCCAGGAATGGACACTTCTTCTACTTTTGTTTCGGATTTTCGGTCTGAAAGTTAGGATCTGGGATACGGGGCTGGCTTTGAATGCCACACGTCTATCTTTGGCTTCTTGAAGTAGACTGGCTTAGCCAGGTACACATCTGCGATATCCAATCGGCAGTTTCGCCTTCTTGCACTTCCAAGGGCCATGTAGTTCGGATTTTACGGTTCTAACCTCTACATCAGGCAGCTCTCTATATCTTCCCCCCCTCCGTGGCTACCCTCTGACCACTCAGGTCTAGGCCTTTCGCCCGTCATTCTGATCATCATGGCAGTGCATATCAGTAACGCCTCTCATACAGCCTCATTCCTGACTTTGATTGAAAAGATGGAGAAGATGATACAGCTTTGCCAATGTCTTGCGATGCAAACCCAAGAGGGTTGTCGCCAATGAGAGCTGATATAGAGTAAACTGTAATCAGCACGACTTATCTGACCTTGCCATTCCTTTTCATGTATGCTTTCAACATTCAACGCTCAGGCGCCAGCCTCTCAATATGATCCACAAAACTCTGGACATTTGGACGAGGTGAACGATTGCATGACAAGTGTTGGCGGTCAAAACTTCAACGCTTTGAGTAAGGCTATAGTTCGTCACTAGACTGAGATCGTTGCGACGCATATACCCTCCAAAATTGGCCAATGCTTTTGAGAGAGGGGTATGGGGGTGGCCAAGAGCTGTCCAATTTGGATGACACCATGAACTCATTTGTACCTGGCCAGCTATACATACCATATTGAAGACAACTTTTGAGGTACCCGGCTGCTTCCAGGAGCATGGTAAAGCCTCCAACACAAGCTTCAGCCTCGAGATGTTGCGCCAGCCCACGCTGACTGTAGTGAATGACCGCATAGACCTGGAGGTAGGCTGGGCGCTCAGCAAAATCATTGGGCAGTTGAAATTAGCATCTGCGTGTACGGGAGATTACCGATGCTGATCAAGAGCCTGCAGAGGTTTGGATGTCCTCGAGCACTCGTTGCACCGCACCCATATCAAGATGAAGATAGCGAAACCGAGACTTACCCGGACACGGCCCGCTTCCGGCCAAAACACAACATGCCCCCTAGTCGTATTTTCTAGTTTTAACTTCCAATCTTGGGACCAATTCTAGTGATGATTCGACAATACGAGACTTTCATGGGGTTATTCTCTCACTATTGTCTTTGTCTCGCTGGCCAAGTGGGGACGGGAACCTAGCCCGTGCAACTGAACTAAACCAACACGGAAGAAAGGATCGCTTCAATTGTCCATGCCTCGTCTTCCAGTCTTCTCTCAAGCTACCTTCAATTTGCTCTTATAGTATTCGAACCCAAAATGATCAATTCAACAGAGCCAGTTATCATCATCGGAGCCGGAGTCTTTGGGCTGTCAACCGCCTACGAGCTGTCCTCTCGCGGGTACAAGAATATCACTGTCCTCGATCGTTTCTTGCCGCCAGTCCCTGATGGCAGCAGTGTCGACATCTCTCGAATCATTAGGATGGAGTATGCAGACCCAGATTATCACCAAATGGCACAAGAGGCTATGCAGGGTTGGAAGACGTCTTTTAAAGATTACTATCACCATTCTGGCTTCGCGATCTTATCAGAAACGTCATCAAATCCATACATCGAGAAGATCCTGCAGATCACCGAAGCCCAAGGCGGATCATTAGATGCATCTCCAAACGCAAATAGCCTGAAAAAGATGTATCCCGATATTCGAGCCGACTACAGTGCTTTAAATGCATACCACAATTCCGAAGGAGGTTGGGCGGATGCGGAAGGGAGTATTCGGCATCTTGCAAATCTGTGTAAAATTAACGGTGTCTCTTTCATTACCGGGAAACGAGGGACTGTACAAACCTTGCAGAAAGAGGGAGGTCGCGTGAACGGAGTGAACATGTTGAGTGGGGAGTTTCTGCCTGCATCAAAAGTAATACTCGCCACAGGTGCCTGGTCCAATCTCTTGCTTGATATGTCCTATGCGGCATCCGCGTCAGGGCAGCCTGTGGGCTTCATTCAACTAACCCCAGAGGAGGCCTCTAACCTCCAAAGGATTCCTGTCATGATCAACCTCACCAGCGGTATCTTTGTGTTCCCTCCGCAGCCAGGCACAAATATCCTCAAGGTTGCTCGGCATAGTTACGGCTTTGGAACTGCCATCAAATCCGATGACGGGGGCCGTATCGTTTCCTCGCCGAAGCGTGATTCTAACAACGCCAACAAATCCTTCCTGCCCGAGGAAGCAGATCAAGCTTTGCGAGATGGCCTTCGACAGCTCCTTCCCGAATTTGCAAATCACCCTTGGTCGAGTCTTCGACTGTGCTGGTACACAGATACCCCGGAGGGAGACTTTATCATTGACCATCATCCAACATTGAAAGGTCTCTTCCTTGCGACAGGTGGAGCTGGACAGTAAGTTCTGCTTGCTTTTGCTGTTGATTACATGACTAATAGAGAACAGTGCTTTCAAATTTCTGCCAGTACTTGGTCGGTACATAGCCGATTGTTTTGAACATTGTGCCTCAGCTGCATTGAGACAGAAATGGCGGCTTCGTTTACCGGATAGCAAGAAAGAGGTCAAGATTGGGGATGGAAGTCGCGCCGGACCTGCTTTTCGAATCTTGTCGCCTGAAGAACAGAGTAAACTCTGATTAGCACAGGTGGTTGCTTCCTTGGATTTCCTCCTTTTGTCTTTGGGTGTCCTCTTGACGGAGTCAAAAATTTGGCATCGGTAGCGGTTATACAGCCCTAGTCAGATCGTTCCCGCATCTATACGCACTCATTTAGTCCATTACATTGAAAACCATAGACTTTCAACGGCCGTAAATTAATGAACTTGCTTCTACCTAGACAGATCCACCCCCTGAGAGATAAGGGGTGTGGCTGTTAAGGAGCAAGTGAGGTGAATAGACTTATTTCCACGCACCTAACCGATTACCCCGCCTACAAAACGATATGATAGATAGATGGGTAACTCCTCGGCGTTGTCCAATGACTTGCCGGCCAATGTCAGAAACCTATTTGGCTGGTGATTTTGTATTTGAATTCTCGTAAATCCGCTCCCACCATCTCAAATTGCACAATGTCAACGAACGGCCCTCGTCCCGCAAAGCGTGCCCGTCAGGCTTGCGATCCATGTCGGTAAAGTGATCGAAATTCATTCAGAGAATTTATATTGAGAATTACAGGCGGAAAAAGTCGCGATGCCCCGGCGAAAAGCCTGTTTGCTCATATTGTGAACGACTAAAGCAGCAATGTGTCTATTCACAGAGTGAACTTGCAGAGCCAGAATCTGCCGCTGAAATGGTGAGTGGGCATCGAAACAGTGTATTATCTGACTTTACATATCTTATTGAACAGGCTAAGCGTCTGGAGAGTGTCGAAGACAAACTGGAGGAGTTGATAAGTAGTCTAGGGTGAGCCAAAACGAATATCGGTCCGCAAATGCTGATGACACTACTAACAGGTTGAAGACCAAGACAAGAGTTGAGTCCAGTTACAATGGACTTCAATTTGATGTCACATGCCACAGATACTTCAAGTATTGAGGAACAAAATTCTCTCATGAGAGCGGCGCGGCTGTACCTGGCTTGCTGCAACTACCAACCCCTTCCGCTATTCAGTTCTGGCGACTTTCTTGACAACTTCATGTCGAGAGATACAAGTCTTATTTGTGTGATTCAGGCTATTGCTCTTCGCTTTGATGCTGTGCCCGAAAGCAGTGATTCGCACTTACAGAAGTTGGTGGGAAGAGCACGGTCTTTGGTTATGAATCAAATCACCAACGGAGTCTTAGAAGTCTCTTCCCTACAGACACTTTGTCTATTGGCTCTGTTTGAGTTCTCATGTGGGTTTCCTTAACATTTATGATCATAGACACTGACCTTTATAGCTGGCAATACTACCCAGGCCGGACTGACTATCAGCATGGCATCATACCTAGCTCAGAGCATCAGCACTCGTGGCCAGGTTCTAAACGACATACAAGAAGAGCCAGATGAAAGACTTCGCTGCTTATGGAGCATCTACTTTCTCAAAAATCTTCAAGGCGATGGCATTCAGACAACTATGCTGATGGCCGGGAACCGCACACCTTTTGACACGGGTTCGGGGATCTCTCATACATATAACTCCCCGGCCATTCCCCAATACCCCAGCTCAAGCCCCAGAGAAGACGTGGGGCTGGTATATTATAGCATTCAAATCAGTGAATTATGGGGCGCTGCTATGAACTATGCAGCTACTCGTGTGGACCACACTTCGCCCGCACCCTGGTTCCCCCACTCCGACTACTCAATCATTACATACCGACACACGGAGTTTGATGCCCGGGTCCCTCTAAGGCACCGATATCACGCCAACAGGTTCCAAAATCATACCCTGGAGGAGCTTGACCAACGCCGTGACTTTTGGGTAGCCTGGCTCTTCCTCCAATTCGTTTATCTGACAATCCCCTGTCTACTCAATCACCCATTTTTACTATCCATGAGATTGCGGAACTTCAAGCATATAATGCCCCAGTCTTTTCTCCGTCAGTCCTTTGAGAACATCAAATTTTGCACTGGGTGGGTTCTTCATTTGATTGACTTGATAGAGCACAAAGGTTTTGAGGTCTACGATCCGATAATTGGGCACTGCGTTGTGATTGTCGCAACAATTCATCTTCAACATAGTTTTGTCGAAGAGCAGGAACTCAGGCACAAGGCAACAAGTGGATATAGTAAATGTGTACGCTTTCTGCAACCACTGAGTGAACGTTGGCCTCATGTCAAATACATGGTGAGTTAGATCTGATTTATGCTTTCGGTACCTATACTAATAGTTTCACAGACGCAGAAACTACAAAGTCTGCGAGAAAGTATCGCCACAAATCCAGGTCGTCAGACATGGTCTATCAATTCTCGTCTCCTATGGGAGGTGCTTGTTTACGACCATGCAAGCAGATCCCCCGCTTCAGATAACATTTCCCGGAATTCATTCTCCGATCATAACGTTAGACAGCAATATTCAGGGATGACCAGTTCAGATATTGACTTCCAACTCCTCGGGTCAGCTGGTATATCTGGCCACAAAACTGTCGTCAAGGAGGTTGCCGACGGGCCACCCGAATCGGTTTCCACTCCTCCAACTGAATTCACTCCTGAGAGGGGTACTCATACCGCCTTGTTCATGAAGCCTTCTGGTATGATGGGAGACATGATGGGAGAAATCATCAACGAAAACTTATTTGTAGAGCCGGAGAACTATGGGAGAGCAATTGAGGATTGGTGGAACATGCCATCTTTATGATATTGTATGTAGCGCAAGTTGATATCTGCAATAGCCCTTTCAAAAAGATGTGTGCTTTCAATCAAAGCTTTGCCATAATATCCTTTGACCACAGTTGACAAAGTGGCCCGTCCTTTCCGTATACAGGGTCTTCCTCAGGTAATGTCACGGCCGCAATCTCTTTTCGCAGCACCCTAAGATCAATCCTGCTTCTCCCAATCTCATTCCTCCAACGTGGACAATTCTTGATAACAAAAAAATATCAGTAAATGAGATAACAGCCCAGAATAACAGATGTCTGACCTCTGGATACACTCCCACATAGCGATAGTCCGCTGTACTTTCTAGAGAACTATGAGCTGTACCTGCCGGGAGGACGATGACATCGCCCACATTGACGACCAACTTCAAGCCAACTGAAACGTCGTCACCAGTCGCCGCCCCTAAGAGTAAGGTTGAAGACCCCTGAAAGATACCTATAGCAGTTCATATAAACATCAGCCCCAATTATGTTAGACTGTAAGTGGTGAAATTATCCTACCATAGCATTCGTGGCTGTTGGGATGAAAATGCCGGATATTTATTGGGCCCCATGTGCCCTAAAGAAATCAGAACCTTTTTCTGGTTAGAATTTTGAAGACATGGTATCAGGACTAACTCTTTTCTCCCATTTTCCTGCCGTGAGAAACTCTGTCACACATTCCTCCGTTCTGGGCGAAGGTAAGACGGCTCTGTAATGAATGACGGGAAGGGTACTGTTAGGCGAGTGCGCTGTTGGCTGGAGATAATAAACGTCTGGAGAGGCCATCTTAAATTACAGCAGAGTAAAGCAGCTTCATAGATACTCGAGTTTAGCTTCAACTGTGGTATTTGTGGCTTCTTATCACGAGGAATATCTCCCCGGACACGGACCGCACCCGGAGACTCTACACATATGGTTTTGATAAGAGACGGAAAAGAAGCCTATTGGAAGAATGAAACAAGAAACGAGGTTGTCCTGTTTCAACGATTATGATACACCATTTGATTTGAGTATATGAATAGTTAGATGCCCGTCTGTTTTCTTCATTCCTGCATATCATACAATTGACATTTTCAATATGGATACAGAGAAGAAACAAGAACTATCGAAAGAGCAAAGTCTCTCTGAAGGTGCTATGGTACCCCATCATGAGACAGATCCTAGTTCGAATATAGCCGTCATTCACGATGCCATAGAAAATATCGGCATGGGTCGATACCAGTGGGGATTGACGCTCTCCTGCGGCTTCGGATTCATTGCAGACCAAGTAAGGATGAAATGAACATATTACCAATAAGTCGTCTAACACTTCTGTTAGATGCTCCTCGTCACAATAAGCCTTATCATGCCGCAGGCATCCAAGGAATTCGCACCTTTACATGCAACACTTCTATCTGCCACTCAGTATGCTGGCTTATTGGTGGGGGCCTTGGTATTTGGGTTCGGGGCCGATATTATCGGCCGCCGCATAGCATGGCAGGCTTCGATTTTTGGGGTGTCTATTTTCACGACGATCTGTGGCGCCTCGCCTAATTGGGCGGCATTGAATGTATTCGTTGCCCTGGCAGGCTTCTTTGGTGGAGGCAACTGTTGGTGTTTCTTTCAATTGCAAAAGAAACGTGTGCTAATGACCATGCAGTGGCCATAGATCTGACGGTTCTTGCCGAGGCTTTACCCCGCAAATGGGGATTTCTTCTAAGCGCCTTGGCTTGTTTGTGGGGGCTGGGAAACACATTCACTGGGCTGATCGGTAATCTCCATCATATCGCAAGCACTAATATTTTATTGACTGAGATTCTAGCTTGGCCACTCGTGGCGAACTTCTGTTGCCCAGATGGCGCTACGCCCGCTACGTGTACCAAAAGCGATAATATGGGCTGGAGGTATCTCTACATAATCATTGGCTGCCTCTGCCTGGTCATGTCCATTCTTCGCTCGTTCGTTTTGAATATGAGTGAATCACCGAAATGGCTTATCTCCCAAGGCAAGTTGAATGAGGCAGTAGTTTCTATCAACAAAATCAGTAAGATCAACAGGTCCGCATATATTGTTTCAAGCGAACAACTCCACCCACATCATGCAGGGGCTCCCAATAGTTTGGGAAACACCTTTAGTATGGTAGCTGGTTTATTCCGGGGCCGCCAACAAATTCGTTCTATGATCTGTCTTATCATTCTCTGGCTTCTGGTCGGCATAGCGTATGCATCCTCCTACTTTGAGTCATCCAGCTCAAGGCTAACATACTAACCATGTTAGATACCCTATATACACTGTCTTCCTGACATACTATCTCGAGGCCCATGGGGCCAAACTAGGCACCGGAGGCATTTATCAGACCTACCGCGACTGGTCCGTGTCCTCGGCTGTTGGAATTTTCGGCCCTGTCTTCAGCGCTGTCCTGATTCAAACGAGATTCCTTGGACGTCGTCGCACTATCAGCGTTACAGCATTTGCTTGCGCTATATTCGCCGGAGCCTTTACAACTGTGAAGAATGAGTCCCAGAATTTGGCCTTTTCTTGCATGATAAACTTCTGGTTGAATGCCTTGTATGGAGTGATCTATGGGTGAGCGATCCTTGGCGACCAGCGAATTATGTGTCCACTCTACTAATTTCATACAGATATACCCCCGAGGTTATGCCCGATAAGTACCGGGGGACGGGGTGTGGTTTGGCCCTCGCTTGCGGCCGTGTTGCATCCCTGTCAGCCCCTTTCATTGCCACCTGGGGTAATGTATATACCTCGGTCCCAATTTTTGTTTGCTGTGGCCTTTTTGTTGCGATGGGACTTGTGTCCTTAGTTTTACCATTCGAGCCTCGCAATTTTGGTAATCAGTAGTTGGATTCTCAACGTACAGGGGGTCGATTTTGACGTCGGATCCGCACTTTTGAATAGCGAATACGTATTAAGGTACTTGGGGGTTGCAGTTTAATATTAACAGAGCAGTATTAGTATTGAATTTGCCATCTCCTTTTCATGAGCTCAGCCGTATTCTGGCAGTTTCGAAACTCGGCTTTAATAAATACATCTCATTCCGTTTCATAAAGAACTGTTATTGATAGCCACGCGGCGCTACGGGTGATGCGGTAAAGCAGCATGGCCAACTAAGAGCCTGACAAGATAGTATTTCAAATGCGACTAGATGAAGGAATATCTATTGAGATTTTGCAACTCAAACTACTATCCTTCTATGTACAGAAACCTCTTCAAGTTCCACCAAAATCCTCTTTTAATGACCTCGTGAGATAAAGCCAAGGAAGAAGCATCATTTCCCTTGGAACGCCCACGTTTGCTTGGTAATGGCTCACCATCCCAAATATAAAAGCTACGATCTGCCCCCTTCTTTGGAACTGATGTCGTCTGGGCAAAAGCCTCTCGTTCCGCTATTCCCAATGGATCTCGCTCTGGCGCTTCGATCCATGATAGTCCAGCTCCCCAGTATTCAAACCGAGTACGGCCTTGATAGGTCCAAATGTAATCCTCCCAGCGGTTTTCTGAGAGAGTTTGCATGTAATGTAGAGAGCTCCCCGGGTACAGAGCAGTCACTTTCCCGTTGGTAGGTTTGACTATACAGCGTACGTAAGAAAACAGAACACAAACCATAACAGCTAGAAGCGGGGCATTAAACAACTTACACCAGCTACGGCAAGATCCTGTCCAAACCATGTCTTTCATCAATTCCACTGTATGGCAATCGAAATCTTGCTCGACCTCTTGGCGGATTTCGAACGATCGCACACGCTCACGTATGACCTTTCGTAAAATGCGGATGAAATAGTCACTAGTGGCTTCCAATGGACCTTTTTTTTTGGGAAATGAGCCAGTCAGCTTTCGTCTCTTGCAACATTTCAACGACGGAAACTAACCCATTAAACTGCCATTTGATATAGGAGTATTGGGACCCAGAAACACCAGGTAATTGGGGAAGCCCGAGACCCCCGTGCCGAGATATGAAACGGGATCCGAACTCCATTTATCTTGAAGGTTCATTGAGTCTCGGCCAATAATAGGAAATCTTGGCTTGAAGCTGGTGTTGAATCCCGTTGCGGCGATGAGCACGTCTACTTCACGTATCTCCCGAGAGCCGTTTTCTAGCTCCACTGTAACACCTTCCTTGACGATTTCTGAGATTGGATCAAAAATAGGATGAACATTCGCCTCCTGGAGTGCCAGGAGATATCCTTCACCAGGGTTGATCCGCCGGCACCCGGCCTCAAATGTTGGAATGAGCTTTGACTGCAGGTATTCGTCATGAATAAGCTCTTTCATGCGTACTTCGAACTTCTTCCGAAGTCCTGTTTGCTCGAGGCTCCCTTTGATGAATGCTTTGAAGTTTGAGTTAAACGGGCTTTCGAGGCCTTTGCGCATCTCTAAATAAGAATCTCGATTTTGACGGAATCCTTGTTTGTCGTCTTCACTGTACTTCGGATTATTGTTGTCAGACGCTTGCTGCCCAGCTGGTGGACATATCCACGACGGAGTGCGGATGTAGATGTCAACATCCTCGCAGAGAGGCTGGATTTTGGGAAGTAGTTGCACGGCACTAGCGCCTGCCCCGATAATAGCGACACGTTTGCCCTTCAAATCGATAGCTGAATCCCAGCGAGCAGTGTGCAGCAAGGGACCCTCGAAAGATGACAGCCCGCTGATTGTTGGCATCTGTGGATGGTGGAGAATGCCGCCAGCGTTGATGAGAATCTCACTCTCAACTGTCCCGTAATCTTCAACATCTACAGCCCAAGTTGCCTTGGTCTTGTCCCACGTGGCGCTTGTCACTTCGCAGTTGTAATGAATATAACGTTCCAGATCAAAGCGTTTTGCAACATTTTTCAGGTAGTTTTGAATCTCAGTCGATGATGCATAGCTGGGGCGCATGTCAGTCTCGTTAGTCTTCAGTCAAATTGAAGAACACATACAACTCAGACCAGTCAGGATTGGGTGCAAATGAGAACTGGTAAACGTGACTGGGCACATCACAAGCACAGCCTGAGAACCGTTAGCCCTAGGTCTTCACTATACAAAGCAAGCATACCTGGATACCGATTCTCATACCAGGTCCCACCCAAATCCGGGGACTTTTCAAAAATTCTGAATTCCACATATTCATCCAAATGTTTTTGGAGTTTATAGGCTATAGTTTGTCAGTCGACAGCCGGGCAATAATAGAACAAGGTTTCCGTACCCATTAAGACACCGGAAACTCTTGAAACCCTGGTCAGCGATTTTACTTTAATAACATTAATATACTCACCCAGCTCCAATTATCGTGCAACGTAGGTGCTTCATTTTGATTCTTTCAAGCGTGGTTGAGTCTGTGAATACACGTTGAGGTAAATAGTGAAATCAGAAAAGCCGCATAGAATTATAACAAAACGAATATGATTTCTTCAGTCTGCCTTTAATCTCTGTTGCCAGTAGAGGTAATAGCGATAATGCTTTCAACAATCTCCGCCCGGATACGGCCCGCTGCCGGGTCACACCAGGGACGGCATGGGTCCCGGATGAATAACCCAAAAGTTGGCGTTGTGCATACTCAATGTAGATAAGAAGGATATATCGCAGCTCATGTCTTGTCTTACTGTGATATCCGGAACATAGCACTTCATTGATCTACCGTTCCAATCTCACCCCGGCCACGAGAAATCTGTAAAACCAATATGAATCGTCTATTCTCCTTTGGCAAACAAGACACTGCTTCTTCAAACAGCAGCACAGCAAGCGAAGCGGGGGATCGAGCTCTTCCCGCACAGTGGTATCGTTCGCCAGCCCTTTATTCCCTTGAGCGGCGAGCAATCTTCTCCAAGAAATGGATGGCCATTACCCACGAGACACGCTTCCCCAATTCGGGTGATTATGTGCAGTATACAGTCGCCGGGTATAATTTTTTCGTTATCAAGGATCGCAAAAACACCATTCGGGCCTTTCATAACGTTTGTCGGCATCGAGCGTACCCTGTTATGGAATCCGAGTCCGGGACGGCAAGCATCATTGCTTGCAAATATCACGGTGAGCTCCGTAACAATACAAAGTGCGACCGTGCTAATATATCCAGGGTGGTCTTACGGCCTGGATGGTAAACTTGCCAAGGCGCCCAAATATCAAGACATCGACGGGTTCGACAAAAGCACGAATGGATTGTTTCCCGTCCACGTCCATATCGATAAGCTTGGGTTTATTTGGGTGAACTTGGAAGCTTCGATAGAGCCTACATTCTCATGGGAGAATGATACTGGTGGTGTTGACCAGCAGCCACGCCTACAGCACTTCGACATGTCTGAATATCGGTTCGACCATCAATGGAGTATGATGGGCGATTACAATTGGAAGACACTCGCTGATAACTATAACGAAGTATGTCTCTCATCGAATAGGGGAACTGAATCTAACCGTGTCAGTGCTACCACTGTCCAACTGGTCATCCAGGGGTCAATTCCGTCTCAGACCTTTCAAGATATCATGTTGAGGTGAATAGCGGAATCATCGAGCATTATAACACAAACAAGGAAGATACAACAGGATTCGATATCAATAGCTCATTTTACTTTCCCAATGCGTCTATTACCATCTCGTATGCTCCATATCCGCTTTAGACGAACATTACTGATTGGTTCTCACAAACAGTCCAATCTTTTTTACATGATGAGATGCATACCAGTTTCAGAGTCTCAAACTCTCATGGAGTATGAAGTATACCGACATAAAGACGCACCAGAAGCCGAATTTACCGAGATCAGTGATTTCTTTAAGCAGGTCCTTCGTGAAGATAAAGACCTTTGCAATGCGGCGCAGAAAAACCTGAACACGGGCATCTTCACCAACGGACAGCTGCATCCTAATGCAGAGAAGGTAAGTTATTATGGTAACTCAAATAGCGAAAACATTGAACTAAAATACAAAAAAGGGACCTTTATACTTCCAAAAGCTAGTTAGAGACTTGGTCTTTAAGCATCGGCTGGAGGAAGAAAAGGCTGGTCAGGATATTTGGCCAGCAACACCTCAGCATGTCAACACTGCCAAGGTCGATGAAGAATTACAGTTCTGTCAGGCGCTCGACTGTGCATTAGATAAGTCTCTAGCATGGTAGTTTAAATCTTCCATTTGTGTGTTTTTTCATGAGCTTTCTTTAGCTACGATCTATAATCCTCTCTGGTTGCTTGTTCCCAAAATCCTCCTATCAGTCTTTATACGTAACGTTAGGTAAAGTAGTTGAGCTTTAAGGTGTCGAGGCCGAGTGTTATCATTGGCTCGTTGCAGGCACATCACAACCACAGTAGCCACAACATTGAGAGTATTACCATTGGAGCTTGGAGTTCTTAGATGTGTTATGAACCTCCGCTATCATACTAGATTTTTATATTTGTGATGGATGACAGGAGTGGGAGATGAAGGAAAATGTTAATTATATTGTTTCCATCTACTCCTAAGTTGCATTTTCTATGCTATTTATAATAGGTAGAGACTATTAGCAAGAGCCGTATTTCTATATTGTCGCTTTGCCACTAAACTCTAGGTTAGATATTCATACAATACTGCTACATAAAACCAAGAGGATATGGATGTATATATGGGGTGCCTAAGATAGTTAAAACTGTAATAAACCTAGAATCTCAATTGAACATCTGGGCACGCATTAATTACAAACTGACCTTGATGGTTTGAAAAGCGAATTGAACCAACATCTACCCACTGCTCAACTGCTGAATCGCTCGTTTATCACACAATAAGTCATTTTCTCACGGTTCTCGCCAAGGCGGTCTCCACTGATCTCCAAGAAGGGCACGAATCTCAATCGCGACACACCAGATGATTGTTTATAGACGTGTGGGATGCGCTTATTGGCAGATAAGCGGTTCTTTATCTCTACATTTTAACGATCTTCTTTGTTAACCTCTGTGCCTGTGCCAGGACATGTTAGGGGCTTAGGAATCTCCAAGTAGATTGATGCAATATCCCTGGCTCCAATGCCCCAAAGCCAGGTTAGGAATTCGTAGGACCGAGTAGACAAAGTATTCCCAGGAGCATCGAGCATAGAATGGTAATGCTGGTTAGGTGGCCAAGTTGGAAGCTCCATGATGGCGCAATTAATTGCAGCCATATCATCAGGATTAGAGATCAGGTTGATAATGCCAGGCTCTTTTGATGGGACGACGGGACGATAGGTGCGATCTAGAAATGGATGGGTACCCGTGACAGAACTAGCGTGTTGCATTTTATTGATGTAGTTTACTCAGGTCGCTCACCCTTAAGGCTCAGTTCATACTCAGTGAGCGGATCAGAGCGCTCAGGTAACGATCAGATCGTGCTTAATCATCGATTCAGGGACAGGGTGTGCTCGGTTGTACTCAATGAGCAAAAAGCGGCAAAGCTTGGGCACTAAAACGGAAATGAAGTACCTTGGTACTCAAGATTCCGGTGGAAACTACAGCAAACTTCTGATATTGCAACAGAGTACTAGAGGTCGTGTAAACGAGGGTTGAATCTATTTATCGATTTCCATCAACCGATTAACAAAGGGGAGGCGACGCAATAAAAGCAGACATGAAGAATGGAAAGCGAATATTAAAGGGGAGGCGACGAATGATATGCTCAGTGGGACAGATTCGCCAAGGCTATTGAAGAATGAAAAGAAATTGTTTAGAAGGCATCCGTTTGGACGGGAGCAGCTAACTCTGCTTCCCCAACTAGAATCTAGTTGATTAGATAGATACTCCATGGACTGTTTCCTTCTATTTGAACCACTGATGTCATGGGCCGCTGCAATGTTTCACGTTAGTCTTCTGTTTCCTCTCATTTTCTTCTCGATTAACGCATTGGACTTCTGACTATCCGACGTTGATAGTACCTAGTGACATAAATGCAAGAGGTCTGAAAGCATGTTGGAGTCTTAAAGGAATAGAAGACAGTATCAACTATCTTTTAGCCGGAGATGACGCTCGCCTTTGAATCAAAAGGTATTGGAAACGACATAAGAGTGGATCTTACCCTACCGGGCTTCTCGGGGACTGTGGGTTTGCGATCGCCGTGCCAGACCTACGGAGACATTTTACGGCCATGCAGACAATACCCATGTTACTTTGTATTTGCCCTAGATGTAAGATGCGCACCTCGATCGATTCCAAACCAGGAAGCCAAGCCAATATCTCACTTTACAATTTATACGCGTTTAATACGCTTTAGAAACCTTCTTTCAATAATAGAATTAACCGGATGTAAGGCATAAACCAGGTTGTCCACATGGCCATCAGTTTTGGCCGTACATACAACTCCTCACCGCTTTCGGTTGGTTTTGAACGCCGATTAGATCCTTACGCAGCCGAGCTAACCCTAATCCTTTCCTACTATTTGCGATACTGTGATCCATTCAATTGCGTTTTCTCATTGGCTTTCACGAAATGACCTCTCAATAAACCGAAATTACTCTTGTCTCCTTGATTTCTCGAACACAGCCACAAATTGCCCAAAATGAATCGTCATTTATTCCGTCGCTTATTGCCTAAGCCGGTTGCCAATGACGGGTCGCAACTACGTGATCACCAGGCCAACGAGCGTACCTTTCTTTCTTGGAACCGAATGGGACTAGCCTTCGCAGCTATGTCACTTGCTCTCGCTCGACTTGATATCATTGACAACATCTTCAATCGCAAATCCCGCGAGGAGGTAATTGATGCTCCTAAGTCATCCGCGCGAACTGTCTCCCCAGGAAAGCTATCAAGCGAGAAAGATCTTCCAGTGACAGAAAATGGATCACAAATCCTGATTGGAAATACGAGCGATCGTGTGGCTAGCCGCGTTTGTCAGGCCATCAGTATCTGGTCATTTGGATATTCATTTGCTCGGTACATGTCCACTCGAAGAAATTTGTTGCAAGGACGCTTTGTTCCTGCAATCTGGGGGCCTTTGTTGATAACATGTGGCTCCCTCGGCGTTTTTGGTATTACTCTGAAGCTAGAGTAAAATGACGGGCGAGAAGATTACTGGTTGATGGTTAACCGTGTAAAGAGTACGCATGGGTCCCCCTTCATTTGCATCGCATACATGTATCCTACATTAAATTTGGCTTCTAGATCGATACCAATAGATATTTCAATCTTGTTTTTACGCAATCATAACTGCATTGCCTCTCCATAAGTTCTCACGGACAAGGGAGAAGCCTAATAGTAGAGGTTTCCAATTGCGAGTCGGGTACTGAGAAAAATATAAGTGAAAATTGATACTCAATATTGCCTAATGACTACATACCAGTTGTCATACTGAACTTTCCCCGGGGCAATTGATTCAGAGCCCTTATGCGCTATGGCGTATTATCTGCTCGTAATGATTCTTCCAACATGACCATGCAGAAAATCTATTAATTATCAGCCACCGCACAAGAATGTCGGGGACTATATGTAAGCATTTCGGGCACCTGAAGATCATCTGTCAGCCTCCTGAGATATGTGGGGCCATGTACAGTAGCGGATTAAGGGGCTCACAGCTGGTCGCCGTTTACCATTTTGAGCTAAACCTTTGTATGCTGCCATGTTCCTACAACCACTCCGAAGTAATATTCGACCGGTATCACCGAATTCGATACTTTCAATATGCCCACCATATTTCCCATGGTACTATCGATTTCTACTCCCATTGAGTTGTTTATGCACCAAGTCATGATACTTACGCTGCTTGAAACACATTCGAAGGTCCAAATGTTCTAATGGCCCCATGCGAGATTCGAGCAAGATTGGTCCCTGAACCGTGCGACCAAAGTCTGATCCAAAGGTGTCGAATGACGAGACAAAAGGGCTTGCTGATACTTGCTACATATTCTTGTCGATCAACGACAAAAAAGCAAAAAAGTTCTTGACCGACGCAGGGGTCGAATCTGCAATCTCTTGATTCGTAGTCAAGCGCCTTGCTATTGGGCCAACCGGCCTTGTTGAGGTGATTCACTTGCGTCTTTGGCCTCGCAGCCAGACCATGTTGACGATTTTAAAGCGTAGAGGTTTCTAAGGAGCCGTCAGACCTGTCATATATGCATTCCGATGGAAACACAATGCTCCTGTTGCCGTATTCGGCGTGAGATTGTGCAGCCTTGTTCAGCTTGCTGTCACCGATCTACATGCATCCGATTTGTATGATCACCCCCAACATCGGGTCGTGCTTGTTCTTGCATGTCGCAGACTCCTCATGGCCAAGTGGTCTCTATTAAGAAGCTCGATTTTATCTCAGAAAGGTAGCTGCCCGGATAGCCACTGATTTCACCTTTTGAGGGTGCAACAACTCCAGGGCAAGGAAACACGAACAATGTGGATTTTGACAAAACCACTGTCTTTATTCCCATGGGAGACGATGTCATGAGGGATAACTTTTCTTAAAGCCTTTACTGGGACTTTGTTGATTCGACTTGCGATGACTTACTGTTTTTCCCCGTATGAGAAGGCCGCAGAGACTGTCAAATGTGCCGATTCAACAAATCAGTTAAAGGTCGTATATCATAGAATATGTATCTATAACCATTTTGACCATGTATATAATATTTCGATTATTTAAGACGCGCCAAGAAGTTCAGGGTCTAGACTATGTCTGGGAGTAAGCGTGATCAAATTGGTCTACCAAAATACCCATTTTCTGTGAGGATCTAGAACAATATTGATTTCCATCTTAATCAGTGCTTTTGGGCTAGAAACTTAAACCCCGTTGGCGGATATGTAATTGCGTGTTTCAGGATCTATCAACTGTCCACATCCATCAGCGGGATCGGGCTCCAATATGGTCCCCGACGTCCGGCCACCAATCCGGACTTCTCGGTTGCATCCTTTGAGGGTCTTCTAAGCTATGCACGAAATGAACAAATTAATCCAACCTGGGCTGTTTTCAAGCAGCAATCAGTTTATCGTTCTCGGAAGTTGGCAAAGGATTCGTGTCTACTCTTCGTCTCGACTATGGCAACCACATAGTCTCATCCTTTTCTCCTGTCCCCATGACAGAACTTCCTTCGACAAAACGCCACGTCCAATCTGAAACTCCCTTCGGAGAGTGCCAAAATCTTGCTGTGAATATTCGCGACCTCCCGGGAGATCCACATCCATCATGCAGTCTCCAAATTAGAGAAATGGCATCCCATACACCTGAACCTAGGGCTTCTAGTTCCAGTTCCACAGATATAGAGGTGAAAATGGCATCCGCTGCTCGACGAGCGCCCGAAAATCCGAAACCAGATTCTTCTCTGTCGGCCAGAAGCGATAATTACATGTTTGCTATCTACTATACCTATTTCCACCCAGCCCATCCGATTCTTCCGCCATGGAACCTATTCCAACAGGCTCATTTGCCGCTATATTTAAAGCAGGTTGTTGAATTCATCGCTGCCCACTTCACCCCAACCGCACCCAATGAGACCTATCGCCATACAATTGTTGGAACAGTTCTCAAGCAGGCACCTGAACCCGAAAAGGTTCAAGCACTTCTTTTATTGTGCATCGTGTTGCATTCGCGCACAGAGCATGTGGAGTCTAAGAACTGTTTGGCCACAGCTGTCGACCTGGCCTTTGAGCTTGGTCTGAACCGGGCTTTTTATGCTGAAACCGAGAGCCCCAACGATCCAATCCGAGCTGAATGTTTACGACGCACATGGTGGGAGCTTTTCATCATTGAAGGTCTCTTGAAATCCTTCGGGGTGCAGCATATCTGCCGCACAGCCCTCAAGCCTCTCGAAGTGCTGCTTCCATGCGAAGAGTCTACCTTCCGCGAGGGCCTGATTTCGCCAATTCCACAGACGCTCTCCGAATTCGATGCGCGTGTTTTTGCCGAAAGGGAGCCGGGTTTTTCATCGTATACCTATCGAATCGATGCTGTGCGCATCCTCAACTGGGCACTGGATATACGTGAGATGACCGGAAGTCATGAAAACCTGATAGAGGTTATTGATGCTCGCATAGCCAGTTGGTTCCTCAATTTACCCAGCTCCAAGGCCGAGCTCCTACGGCCAGATGGCTCAGTCAATGAGATAATGTTTCAGGCTTGTATAATCGTTAACATTGCCTCCATACATCTGAACTTTTCTCGTTCTGGCCTCATGTCATCTTCAGCAGTTGCCACAGATGTCATCTGCAGTCACCAAACTTCCCCCAAGGACTCCGCCTTCTCCCACCATTCCCATGCTACGAAAGCCGTCAGAGCTGCCAATGAGATATCTTCATTAGCTGCGATCAGTTCGCCAGTTGAAAAACACACCCCGTTACTTACTTGTGCCGTTGCGCTCAGCTGCATTGTTCAGCTTGCAGTCGTAAAGGCAGGCCAGATGTCTGACGCAACCCGTGACCGCATCTGTCTGAATCTTGGAGTGTTGAGATCGATGGGCCGAACCTGGGCCATTTCAAAGACAACTATGCAAAAGGCCAAAGCTGTTGCGCGTGATGTACTGGCTCTGGGGACTCAACCACCCGTGGACCTATTCGATTTCACTACCCTGCTCGATCTAAATGAAGAAGTCTTGATGGATGGGAGCATCCTTTAAATGCCTGCTGGGTTGATGAGACGACAAAGAATGGAAAGTCCGGTCTGATACCCACTCCTCATATCTAGTGAATGATGTCTTTACTGCTTCTTTCAAATTTCTTGATTCATTCGGAATTAGGATGTCCTAAAGCTATGTGGGGCGACTAAAGACGAGAAAGAAGCAAATGCTACTTCTTAGACCTGTTTATGACCACCTTAAAATGCCATCTAGGGACCGGGAAACCTTCATCCACCTCCGTGTATTGTTAAAAGATCTGTATGCGAATCCAAAAAAACTAAACACCTTATAATAGGGCTTGGCCTGGTCGACAAACTACATATTAGTAGCAAGTCTGATTTTATCATCCGGATCCATATTCTTGCAACTAGCATGAACCATGAAAGAACTATGGAAGATAAGATCTCCAGATTCATATTCACTTATGAACCATAACCTCTGACCCTCTTGCCGTACTTGAGTACATCGCGGCCAAGGAAACCGCGATCGTTCATATTTTTGTTAAAAGCAGAAACCCACTCTTCATCCGTCAAGTTGATGCGTTACGCGCAGACTACTCTTCGGTCCATTGCTCACAACCAGCAGACTTCTCAAGATAGATCCTCCTGCTTCAAGTGATAAAGCTCTGATTGGACCTTAGTTTCCAGATTCAATATTGCAGCAACAGGCGAGAAATTTGTTGCATCTCACTACAGTAATATGTTGTAGAATAAGTGGTTGAAAGGAGCGGTTGTGCCTTATTCCAAGATATTGAACCAAGGGAGAGCCCAGCTGGGACAGAGTTGAGCAGTCCGTTTGCCTTCGCTGACTGTAGCTTGTTTCTCCTCGCTTCCAATCCTTTTCAAAGCCTTTCATTCCCAGAGATTAATTTACCCACCTTAATGTTGCCGACTTGAGATCTCTTGTTGCCATGGATTCATGTTGGCTGTAAATGGCACAAGATAAGACCTCTTTCTCAGAGAGTATATAATGTGAGATGTCAGATTTTAGTGAAAGCGATAGCTGGTTGACTTCAAAATGCACTAAGACAAAGTAGAACTGCATCTTCTTAATATCCAACGATCCTCGACTCCTTGCGTAAGAGTGACCTTCGCTATGAATTGATTCACTCGAGAATCCTCCTTTTGGACCTCCATTTCACACTATGTGAATCAAATCACAAACATGCATCCGCAGTTCCGAGGAAAAGAAGCGCTATATCGTCTAAACAGTTTATGTTATCTCGCATGACCATCTTATGATCTGTGAACTATGGGGATTTACCACTGGTTTGGACAGGGACCGGTGAGATCAGTTCCAAGGTAGTTGAGTATGACAAATTTAATGCATCGAGTAGATTATCCTGAAATTGTCAGGATAATTTTCATATTTGTTCTCGAAAGGGACTTGTCCGGAGTGAAATGTCATGACATAACCCACGGATGTTCCCGCTGTCGTGGCTCTCAGCATGCCGTCACCCGCACAACCCAAGATGATATCACCACCGGACCATCCGGGATCTATTCTCGACTACCGCTCGCTCTTGCAGCATAGTTGATAGCCCAAAGGTAAAATACCCACGGATCGACGCACTGGATTAAGGTTATCCGGGGGCAGAATGGATGACTAAGGCCAGATTGGCCAGTCAACGACCTCGGGACTCCTTAACCAGCATCCAGCATTCTTCGCGAAATTACTTGACGACCCAGACGGCTCGGCGAAAATGTGTAGACGTCATTTGGAGGGGGAAGCCTCGCTTCCCCCCATTGAGCTCGACAAAGATTCTTCGTTTCCAAACTCCGTGCCTTTACCCCACAAATGGGATGATATCGAGCGAAGTCAATCCCGTGTTGATGCCTCCTACTATGCAAAAGAGTAAAGAACAGCAAAAGAAGGCGCACATTACCTGTAATTGAATTAATCTTGTGTATCAATTAAGAGGTGCAGTGGAAGGGCGGATTGCCAGTTTCTCAGGGAAACCTAGACCCCAAATCGTATGATGATGCTCCCCAAGCTCATGTGGAGACATGAGATGTCGGGAGGCCCACTCATATTGTCTCCCATGCGGTTCGGCATCATAGACTTCGGATACTGTACTGCGCATGACATCGAGGTCGTCGTTTCTTTCTGGGATCACCTCGCGGGCCTTGGAATCCAGACAGAGCCAAGTCTTGGTTCCAGTATGCAGCCGAAGCGTTGATCTCTCATACGTTCATTCGTGCTTGTGCATCCACCGATGAAAATACACATCTCGGACACAACCGATTCATGATGCAATGGTAGTGAGAGAACATACTGATATTATATAGTTCCGGCGATTTCTGGCATTGGACGGCTTTTCCCCCTTAGGATTATTGACTATACATGACAACCCAACCGAGACGACTCTTATGATACTATTATTTGACTTATTTTTCTTTCCACGACCTACTTATTGTTAATATCTTTACGCACCAGTCCATCAAAAATTCATTCAAAATGTCCGCCAACGAGATGACTACCAAACCCGAGGCTGAACAGGCCGAGAACATTGGAACCAGAGTTGCCAAAAAACTGAGCAAGCGATTGTCCATGAGTAGCGGAAGCAAAGAGGGCACCAGCCATGGAGGCGCCCAAGATTCAATACTCGACAAAAGTGCCTCTATCAGAGACGAATTGGGCCAAGGTAACTTCACCGGCGCCAAAGAGATCATCACCAAAGGCCAGACAACCAAGAGATCTATGAGCCAAGGAGATGCCGGCGGAGCTTCCAGCAGCGTCGGAACCAACCAACGAGATATGAGCAAGGAAAATGCCAAGGAGACTGGACAGCAAATCAACAAAGGGATTAGCCAGGACAATTCCGAAAAGGCCTCCGCTGGTGGATCGAACAAGGAACAGCGAAACGCTGGCAGTCCACCAGTTATTCAACTCAGGAAAGAAAGTGGCAGTAACGAAAATACCGAAAAACACTCGACTAGCGAATCCAACAGAAAGGACCAAAGCAAAGGCCACGAAGACATGGACCACCGAGGTAGTGTCGCAGCCGGAATGCTCGAACCAAACTACGATATTCGCAAGGGCCCCATCACTGTGGAAGGAACATTCCAGGAGAAGAATTTCCACAACAAGACTGGCCGCGAAACTATTGTTTCGAGAGACGGCGGCATCAGCAAAAATCCTACCCAAGGAGACGCCAACACACAGGCTAACAATGGTAATGCTACTGGATCGAGCACCAACCAGCAAGGCCTTTCCCAAACTGGCATCGTAGGATCGAGCAGTGACAAGGGAAATCCAAGCGCCAGCAAGCGTAACTCTTCTCAGTTTGCCTCTGCCGTAGCACCAAACAATGGCAAAGACAGCTCGAGCCAATTGAAGAGCGGAGGAACCAGTGCTGGAAATGAATTTAGCAACGAGTTCATCCAAAATGAGCTCCACGACCAAGAGAACATCAGCGGAGATGTCTTTGATGATGGATCCGGCGGCAAAGATCTCTCCAAGGAAGCTGCAGGTCATGACGTGTCGAAGAAGTCTCATGCCAACCAGAAGAACCTTGAACAACAGGGCTCCAAGGCTTCACAGAAATCAGGAGCTGACCAGGGTTCAGCAGGTGCCGCTGTTATTGGCGGCAGTGGGATGAGCAAAGGAACAAGCAGCCAGACTTCTACTACCAAAAAACAGTCAAGCAAAAGTCACTCCAGCTCTGGAGTCAACGAAACAGCCCGCAAGGAGCTTGCTCCCACAAGTCCGAAGAGCCAGGTTCAATCTACTGCCAGTGAAAATGGTCGCTCAAGGGGCCAGGACTTAGCCGCCGACAGTCAGGCAAAGACGAGGTCGTACTCGGGAGCACTTTCGGGCCAAGGCTCTGGTCAAGGCTTCAACCCTGCTATCCCAGCAGATAGTGCCTATGCTGGCGCCGGGGGCTCGAAACAGACTAGCAACATGGGCCAGAACAGCGGCATGAGCCAGACCAGTGGGTTGCGCTCTACCACTACTAGCCAGACAAACCAAGCAATGTCCAGCAATGTCTTCTCCGGCAGCGGTGGAACTACCACCCAAGCAGCCATGGTTGGCGGAGGAAGACTGCAGCAGAGTGGCGTCAGCAATACCACTGGCACCGGCAACGGCACCAGTAGTGCCACCACCGGCGGCAAGAATGGCGCAACCACAAAACGCACCGTCAGACAGCTCAGTAGCGGGGGCTTCAAGGTTACTGTTCTCCAGGAGAAGCTTCAGGCAGTGTCCCAGAAGTGCAAGACTCAGCTGGGCCTTTCTTCCGATGATATCAGTCGCCGCTGCCCTACCGTTGACTCTTTCTTCGATGCTGTTGCTGCTGAGCGTCTCCGCTGGATGCCTCGTGATGGAAGCAAGCTTGACTGCTGCCTCCGATGGGCTTCCAGACTGGCATATGCCGTTGACGCTCTTAGGGAGTCTGTCGGAGTCTTCGCACCTGCCGCCAACGAGGCTGCAATGCTCATTTGGGGATTCTCCATTCTCCTTTTGGAATCTGACATTGACAACACCGATGTCTTCGAAAGCGTCTTTGGCCGATATGGTCGTGTTGCTGTCGGCATCTACCTGCTTCTCCAGTACGAGACCGCGTACAAGTCATCCCCTGAGCTTCAGCCAGAGGTCACCGCTGTGTTTGCCGACTTGCTTGAGATGGTCTGTAGCACAACCACAAGCTGTGTTGAGGGATTCAAGAGCAAGGAGTCTGACCAGGTAATTGGACGCAACGTTGACGCAGCCTTTGTGACCTACGCCAAGCGCTACTCTACTCATTGGAACTCTGTTGTCGACTCTCACACCTCGAAGCTCGTGAAGCAAAGTTCACAAATCTATTCTTCTCCTGAGCTAGGTAGCTTGCGCCAGTTCCTGGGAGTACAAGACCGTCCTCTACAGTTCATTCTGGATTCTCGCGCCCACTTACTCGCTGAGGGGTCGTTTGAGTGGTTCAACAACACACTTTATGACTTCACTGTTGCTACCACCCCTGTAATGCTTATTACAGGTGGAGTTGGCTCTGGAAAGAGTGCCCT